CAGGATCAACAACAGCAGAACAATCAACCACCACAGGATCAACCACAACAGAACAATCAACCACCACAGGATCAACCACACCAGAACAATCAACGACGACAGGATCAACAACACCAGAACAATCAACGACGACAGGATCAACAACACCAGAACAATCAACCACGACAGGATCAACAACACCAGAACAATCAACCACGACAGGATCAACAACACCAGAACACTCAACCACGACAGGATCAACAACACCAGAACAATCAACCACCGCAGGATCAACAACACCAGAACAATCAACGACGACAGGATCAACAACACCAGAACAATCAATCACGACAGGATCAACAACACCAGAACAATCAACCACGACAGGATCAACAACACCAGAACAATCAACCACCGCAGGATCAACAACACCAGAACAATCAACGACGACAGGATCAACAACACCAGAACAATCAACCACCACAAGACCAACCACACCAGAACAATCAACCACCACAGGATCAACCACACCAGAACAATCAACCACGACAGGATCAACAACACCAGAACAATCAACCACGACAGGATCAACAACACCAGAACAATCAACCACGACAGGATTAACAACACCAAAACAATCAACCGCAACAGGAGCAACCACACCAGAACAATCAACCACGACAGGATCAACAACACCAGAACAATCAACCACGACAGGATCAACAACACCAGAACAATCAACCACGACAGGATCAACAACACCAGAACAATCAACCACGACAGGATCAACAACACCAGAACAATCAACCACCGTAGGATCAACAACACCAGAACAATCAACCACCACAGGATCAACCACAACAGAACAATCAACCACGACAGGATCAACAACACCAGAACAATCAACCACCACAAGACCAACCACACCAGAACAATCAACCATGGCAGGATCAACCACACCAGAACAATCAACCACCACAGGATCAACCACACCAGAACAATCAACCACCACAGGATCAACAACACCAGAACAATCAACCACCACAGGATCAACCACACCAGAACAATCAACCACGACAGGATCAACAACACCAGAACAATCAACCACCAAAGGATCAACCACAACAGAACAATCAACCACCATAGAATCAACCACACCAGAACAATCAACCACCGCAGGATCAACCACACCAGAACAATCAACTACGACAGGATCAAAAACACCAGAACAATCAACCACGACAGAATCAACAACACCAGAACAATCAACCACGACAGGATCAACAACACCAAAACAATCAACCGCGACAGGATCAACCACACCAGAACAATCAACCACCGTAGGATCAACAACACCAGAACAATCAACCACCACAGGATCAACCACAACAGAACAATCAACCAGGACAAGATCAACAACACCAGAACAATCAACCACCACAAGACCAACCACACCAGAACAATCAACCATGGCAGGATCAACCACACCAGAACAATCAACCACCACAGGATCAACCACACCAGAACAATCAACCACCACAGGGTCAACCACAACAGAACAATCAACCACCACAGGATCAACCACACCAGAACAATCAACCACGACAGGATCAACAACAGCAGAACAATCAACCACCACAGGATCAACCACAACAGAACAATCAACCACCACAGGATCAACCACACCAGAACAATCAACCACGACAGGATCAACAACACCAGAACAATCAACGACGACAGGATCAACAACACCAGAACAATCAACCACGACAGGATCAACAACACCAGAACAATCAACCACGACAGGATCAACAACACCAGAACACTCAACCACGACAGGATCAACAACACCAGAACAATCAACCACCGCAGGATCAACAACACCAGAACAATCAACGACGACAGGATCAACAACACCAGAACAATCAATCACGACAGGATCAACAACACCAGAACAATCAACCACGACAGGATCAACAACACCAGAACAATCAACCACCGCAGGATCAACAACACCAGAACAATCAAGGACGACAGGATCAACAACACCAGAACAATCAACCACCACAAGACCAACCACACCAGAACAATCAACCACCACAGGATCAACCACAACAGAACAATCAACCACCACAGGATCAACCACACCAGAACAATCAACCACGACAGGATCAACAACACCAGAACAATCAACCACGACAGGATCAACAACACCAGAACAATCAACCACGACAGGATTAACAACACCAAAACAATCAACCGCGACAGGAGCAACCACACCAGAACAATCAACCACGACAGGATCAACAACACCAGAACAATCAACCACGACAGGATCAACAACACCAGAACAATCAACCACGACAGGATCAACAACACCAGAACAATCAACCACGACAGGATCAACAACACCAGAACAATCAACCACCGTAGGATCAACAACACCAGAACAATCAACCACCACAGGATCAACCACAACAGAACAATCAACCACGACAGGATCAACAACACCAGAACAATCAACCACCACAAGACCAACCACACCAGAACAATCAACCATGGCAGGATCAACCACACCAGAACAATCAACCACCACAGGATCAACCACACCAGAACAATCAACCACCACAGGATCAACAACACCAGAACAATCAACCACCACAGGATCAACCACACCAGAACAATCAACCACGACAGGATCAACAACACCAGAACAATCAACCACCAAAGGATCAACCACAACAGAACAATCAACCACCATAGAATCAACCACACCAGAACAATCAACCACCGCAGGATCAACGACACCAGAACAATCAACCATGGCAGGATCAACCACACCAAAACAATCAACCACCGCAGGATCAACCACAACAGAACAATCAACCACTGCAGGATCAACAACACCAGAACAACCAACTACCGCAGGAACAACCACACCAGAACAACCAACCACCGGAGGATCAACCACACCAAAACAATCAACCACTACAGGATCAACAACAACAGAACCATCAACGACGACAGGATCAACAACACCAGAACAATCAACTACGACAGGATCAACAACACCAGAACAATCAACCACAACAGGATCAACAACACCAGAACAATCAACCTCCGTAGGATCAACAACACCAGAACAATCAACCACGACAGGATCAACAACACCAGAACAATCAACCACGACAGGATCAACAACACCAGAACAATCAACCACGACAGGATCAACAACACCAGAACAATCAACCACGACAGGATCAACAACACCAGAACAATCAACCACCGTAGGATCAACAACACCAGAACAATCAACCACCACAGGATCAACCACAACAGAACAATCAACCACGACAGGATCAACAACACCAGAACAATCAACCACCACAAGACCAACCACACCAGAACAATCAACCATGGCAGGATCAACCACACCAGAACAATCAACCACCACAGGATCAACCACACCAGAACAATCAACCACCACAGGATCAACAACACCAGAACAATCAACCACCACAGGATCAACCACACCAGAACAATCAACCACGACAGGATCAACAACACCAGAACAATCAACCACCAAAGGATCAACCACAACAGAACAATCAACCACCATAGAATCAACCACACCAGAACAATCAACCACCGCAGGATCAACCACACCAGAACAATCAACTACGACAGGATCAAAAACACCAGAACAATCAACCACGACAGAATCAACAACACCAGAACAATCAACCACGACAGGATCAACAACACCAGAACAATCAACCACGACAGGATCAACAACACCAGAACAATCAACCACCGCAGGATCAACAACACCAGAACAATCAACCACCACAGGATCAACAACACCAGAACAATCAACCACAACAACACCAACCACACCAAAACAATCAACCACCGCAGGATCAACCACAACAGAACAATCAACCACCGCAGGATCAACGACACCAGAACAATCAACCACTGCAGGATCAACCACAACAGAACAATCAACCACCGCAGGATCAACGACACCAGAACAACCACCTACCGCAGGATCAACCACAACAGAAGAATCAACCACCGCAGTATCAACGACACCAGAACAATCAACCACCGCAGGATCAACCACAACAGAACAATCAACCACTGCAGGATCAACAACACCAGAACAATCAACCACCCTAGGATCAACAACACCAGAACAATCAACCACGACAGGATCAACAACACCAGAACAATCAACCACGACAGGATCAACAACACCAGCACAATCAACCACGACAGCATCAACAACACCAGAACAATCAACCATGGCAGGATCAACAATAACAGAACAATCAACCACGACAGGATCAACAACACCAGAACAATCAACCACGACAGGATCAACAACACCTGAACAATCAACCATCACAAGACCAACCAAACCAGAACAATCAACCACCACAGGATCAACCACACCAGAACAATCAACCACCACAGGATCAACCACAACAGAACAATCAACCACGACAGGATCAACAACACGAGAACAATCAACCACCACAGGATCAACCACAGCAAAACAATCAACCACTGCAGGATCAACCACAACAGAACAATCAACCACCACAAGATCAACGACACCAGAACAATCAACCACCGCAGGATCAACCACAACAGAACAATCAACCACTGCAAGATCAACGACACCAGAACAACCAACTACCACAGCATCAACCACACCGGAACAAGCAACCACCGCAGGATCAACCACACCAGAACAATCAACCACGACAGGATCAACAACAGAACAATCAACCACGACAGGATCAACAACACCAGAACAATCAACCACGACAGGATCAACAACACCAGAACAATCAACCACCGTAGGATCAACCACAACAGAACAATCAACCACTGCAAGATCAACGACACCAGAACAATCAACCACCACAGGATCAACCACACCAGAACAATCAACCACCGCAGGATCAACCACACCAGAACAATCAACCACGACAGGATCAACAACACCAGAACAATCAACCACCGTAGGATCAACAACACCAGAACAATCAACCACCACAGGATCAACCACAACAGAACAATCAACCACGACAGGCTCAACAACACCAGAACAATCAACCACCACAGGATCAACCACACCAGAACAACCAACTACCGCAGGATCAACGACACCAGAACCATCAACCACCACAGGATCAACCACACCAGAACAACCAACTACCGCAGGATCAACCACACCAGAACAATCAACCACCCCAGGATCAACCACACCAAAACAATCAACCACCGCAGGATCAACCACCACAGGATCACCCACACCAGAACAATCAACCACCACAGGATCAACCACACTAGAACAATCAACAACCGCAGGATCAACCACACCAGAACAATCAACCACCACAGGATCACCCACACCAGAACAATCAACCACCACAGGATCAACCACACCAGAACAATCAACCACCGCAGGATCAACCACACCAGAACAATCAACCACCACAGGATCACCCACACCAGAACAATCAACCACCGCAGGATCAACCACACCAGGACAATCAACCACCACAGGATCAACCACACCAGAACAATCGACCACCACAGGATCAACCACACCAGAACAATCAACCACTGCAGGCCCAACAACAGCGGAACAATCAACCACTGCACAAATAACCACACTAGAACAATCATCCACCGCAGGATCAACCACAGCAGAACAATCAACCACCGCAGGATCAACCACAGCAGAACAATCAACCACCACAGGATCAATCACACCGGAACAATCAACCACTGCAGGATCAACCACACCACATCAATCAACCACCACAGGATCAACCACATCAGAACTATCAACCACCGCCAGACCAACCACAAAAGAACAAGCAACCACCTCAGGATCAACCACATCAGAACAATCAACCACTGCAGGAATAACCACACCAGAACAATCAACCACTGCAGGATCAACCACACTAGAACAATCAACCACCACAGGATCAAGTACAACAGAACAATCAACCACCGCAGGATCAACTACAACAGAACAATCAACCACTTATAGACAAACCTCAACAGAACAATCAGCTACCGCAGGATCAACCACATCAGAACAATCAACCAACGCAAGATCAACCACACCAGAACAATCAACAACCGCAGGATCAACCACAGGAGAACAATCAACAACCACAGGATCATCCCCACCAGAACAATCAACCACCACAGGATCATCCCCACCAGAACAATCAACAACCGCAGGATCATCCCCACCAGAACAATCAACCACCACAGGATCATCCCCACCAGAACAATCAACCACCACAGGATCAACCACAGCAGAACAATCATCCACCGCAAGAGAGACAACTGCAATAACTCCTTCACCCAACACTACAGGTAATAAATGCACATTTAAAGTTCAGCGTATTTCTTTTTTTCATCCAGTAATGGCAAATTCTTTCCAAATAACTCAAGCAAACACATTGTGTTCACCTAGCAAAATACATGTTATTGTCTGAGAGAGTCTGAAATATGTTTAATCAGTGTTCATGTATACAAACGCATTGTTACTCACCTAAATTCGTGGGTTCCCACCTGTAGTCAGCCTGGTGTTCGTAAGGGACTCGGGATAAACCGTAAATGTTGATTTTAATCTTTTATCAACGTTACAAAAGTATATATGAACCTTATGGGGGTGCCTCGGGGTACCATAGTACCCCGGCTCTCACATAATGTCCGTGATGCAGTCATTTTTAGTCTGTTGATGATCGGCGATGCGGCAATCGACTCATCTCGACGAGCTGTACACGATGCACCACCACGGTGCGTACCGCGAGCGTTCAGGGTTTCAGCGCAATCGTCCTCGCTGCGTTTCGCCATCGCGGAGTAGCACCGATTTCGGATTGATTGGTACCCCAGTCACGGAGTTAAGTAACACCCCTGGAAAAAAAAGTGTCTCAGAAACAAAATTTAATTGCCTCGGCCATTTTATATTATCTGGTACCCCGGAGTACCGCCATAAGGATCATATATGAATCCAGATATTTAGTTATTTTAAATGAAGTTACTCTAATACCCGTTAATGAAATGTTTTCGTGGTACTTAAGTACGAACACAATCCACCAAAATGTAATTATATAATTTCAGAAAAAATCTGGCATCTAAGCAGGTACAACTCATATGTTGTGTAGGGGTAGGCACACAGTTGATAGGGCTAGTAGGCGTGTGTGAACAGTTCATCGAATTTGTAGGGGACATACTACAAAGCAAAAAGTTGAGAACCACTGACCTAAATGATTGCGTATCCTGCCACACCAATCAGTGGCGTTCATAGCCTGTGTATGGTATGCTGTACACTGCACAGTAAATACAATTTATACATTCGAAATTATACTGGTAGGAACGAAGTTGTAAACTGAGTGTACCAGCCTGCAATAGATTAATGTGTCCGTCCGTCCCCTTTCAATACTTTAACGAAGTGAAATCTCGTGCTGTTGGGTGTAAAATCAGCAATAGACAGCGCAGAGACTTGTCCTACCAGCCCACCCTGCAGGGACCTGTTTATACCACAAAGACAAACTGAATTTGACTTACCCTTGCCTATCTATAGCATTCCTCTTACTGGTAGGAACGAAGTTGTAAACTGAGTGTACCAGCCTGCAATAGATAAACTGAGTGTACCAGCCTGCAATTTAATGTGTCCGTCCGTCCGTCCCCTTTCATTACGAAGTGAAATATCGTGCTGTTGGGTGTAAAATCAGCAATAGACAGCGCAGAGACGTGTCCTACCAGCCCACTCTGCAGGGACCTGTTATGTTCGCATTTTCAGATCTTTATTGCCAATTCCATTCTAAATCCATTGCCCGAATTCCAACCGTAATAAAAAGCGCGAGTGTTTTACAAAGTGTCACAAATTAACCAAAGAGGCTTGGTTATACAGTATTTTGAAATATACACATTTGGTATCACAGATCAAAGCACAAGGGTTATTGTGTGACCACTGGCAAATGAAGCCACGAATGGCAAATCCGTGTTGAGGTGTGCAAGTAACGCTAGTGCAAATTAAATTTGGCCAACAATGCACTGCATGATCGATGATGGGAATAGGTGCGATGCAACCGTAAATGTTTTATGAGTTTTGTAATGTTTGAACAGATTCCATTGGGAACATTAAACCAAAACTTTGATTCAAGATTTTAATCGTACGTGTGTTCTTACCATTGTGTTTTACAGCTGTAGACGTATGCAGAACTTGCCCAAAATATGCCGAATGTATTACAACTGTGAGACCCTTTGTCTGTAAATGTTTTGTGGGATATTACCAAGACGAAGAGAACCATGAATGTGCACAAGGTAAGAATTGGTCAATCTTGGTTTAAATAAAAAAAAACGAGACCGGCACAACACAAAGCACATTGTGATCCACAAACTCAAAGCCGTTTCTTGAGTGTAGTATACATTTGCATCTACCAGTGCCACTTGAATCGTCGTGTTGGCCACTCAAGCTCTTATGGGCAATATCATAAGACAATTTAATTCCATCAATGCCCTCGTGTTATGTTATCGTGTCGGCCAGTGTGTATGGTATATGTACGAATGCTCTTAAGTTATGTGTGAGATGGCAATGGTCACAACTGTTTTTTAACGTGATGTGAATTCCAGATATACTGCACAAGCAAACCATTCTCATTGTTTGGAAGAAAAACAAATATGTTGCCTTTAAAATATTTCCTCTCTTTGTAATTGTGTAGCAAAAGTATTCAATTATGCTTGGAAAATAGATTTGGAATTCGACGATGATATGGAAGATACGTCATCGGCTGCTTTCCAAGAAGTCGCAATCCCAGTCCTTGAACTGGCAAGTAACTGCAACAATACTCTGCACTGTGAAACACATTTACTGCAATATAATATTCATTTTGTAAGCTGCAACAATAATATTTACAAAACTGTAGTGCCCTACATGTCCCGGAGTGGAGGCACTCCTGGTAGATAGTAGAGGCCACCATGACCAAAACTGAATCGCGTCATATTTTATCGTGTGCAGAAAAACACATGTTGCTACAGTACATCTTAACACCAACAATTCGGGCGATTATATATACACCTTGTCACTCTACAATGTTGGGCATTAAGTTACAACCCAGAAATAACATTCTTATTGTATACTGCAGCTCAATTCAACGTTTTATCAAAACGAAACCTATCGAGGATCCGAGGTCATCCGGATAACGTACGTAGACATCCGGGCATTACACACGCACTATTTGTGTCGACTCAATTACATTCGACAGTGCTAAATCCGCACATAAAGCAACTCTTATGTGAGACTCTAAAATGTCAACACATGAAACCTGTCGTTATGGCAGCACAGCATGCCCATAGTGCTCTCGCTGGCGGGGTTAATGCCTATAGAATTCCACGTCGAAGTGCATAACTTTTCCTAGATTAGGGGCCGTCCATAAATGACGTCACGCACCTAGGGGGGGGGGGGTTCAAACATTTGTGACGATGTGTGACGAGGGGGGGGGGGGTTGAGAAATGTGACGTCACATCAGAATGCGCAACTTTAAATAAATATAGACAACACGTTCTACTTAATTAAATAGACTTTTTAATCAATGTTTTCTCCTACAACATCAGAGTGCAGCGCCACATTAAATACGCACTACAATGACAATAGTTTAAAGCGATTTGAAGCATGTTTATATTTGGGGGGGGGCAGAGCTTTTTGACGTCATATTTGAAGGGGGGGGGGGTCTGACTTTTTGTGACGCTGTGTGACGAAGGGGGGGGGGGGGTTAAAAATCGCCCAAATTCGCGAGACGTCATTTGTGGACGGTCCCTTACATACTCAGTAAACGTGAAATAATTAGCCAACGTTGGTCCAATGGTTGCAACCGAGCAATGTTGCACGGTGACAGGGTCTGTTGCAAATTTGGGCTACTTATGAGCAAAATAAAGGTTACGTTTCAACTTCGCAAAACAACTCGAGGTATCATCTGTCGGAGAGACACAACTGGAAAACACAGCAAACATATATACTTAGGGCAGCTATTGTAAGTTGTTTAGAGTAAAAATGAAGAAATAAAGGGATGAACAGCAGCAGGTTTATGATACTTTAGGAAAGCTGAAATTTACCATGAAAACTAACATATTTACTGCGCCTAAAGAAACAACGTTTAATCCATTAGCACTAGGAGCTATGACATGGTCTTAGCGAATACAATAGAACAAAAACTGAAAAATTATCAAAACAACAGAGTTGCACGATGGCTGCTGGTGGAGAATAATTGTGGTGGCAGCCAAACGGTGGAACACATTCGAGAGGGTATACATTCAGGAGATGGAGCGGTGAAATCAGCTTGTGTGTAGGTGGTAGATGGATTTTTGCAACGTAGGACTGCGAGAGATAGCGAAGGTTGATCATAGATGATGATGATAAAGAATATTAGCTCTCGGACCGGACATGTGTACTATTACGTGTAGTGCATACAAATTCTTCCAGCTCCTTTTCACCGGTTCAGATATAAATCTAACTCAAGTTAGATTCAAAATATAATCTAACTCAAGTTAGATTTATATCTGAAACTTAACTCAAGTCGCCGGATTTCATAGTTGCAGTACGATGATGTGGCAGTTACAGATGAAGACATCGCGTGTGAAAAGCCACCATGTTTTTTTAAAGAAAGTTATTGTATCTGATAATACTCATAACCCTAATAAAGTTGATGGAAATGCACTCACCATTAACCCCGTTTTGTTTGCAGTCCATATGAAAGCACTCCGGTAACCATTTTCAAAATATTTGGGAACAGAATTGACAGTCGCAATTACAAATCCCAAGTACGGAGGTGAGAATTCCAGTATCATGAATACAACTAGAATACTTAACATTATCAGAGTAACCAAGATCTAATGCATCCATTTCCACACCCATGTAATGTCACATTTACAATACACGTGTGCACCCCCTATATTGTACACACGCATTTCTAATGATCTCTTCCACGATTGTATTTGTCCTCAACAGCCAGGAAGGAATCAATGTAGATTTTATAAACCGTTTTGACCTAAACTCTAAAACTACAGAAGAGTGTGTCAACAGGCAACTAATCCAAACATTACAAGAGTGTAACAATGTTTGTAATGGACTAAACGTGACGACTTCGAGCAAAAGTAAGTACTTTATAAAGTTTATTGCACTTGTTTATTCATGGAGCATTACGTCCACCGTTGAGTTAAATTTGTGTGGAATTTCAAAACATCAATTTTGAGTGCACTCTTGTGGCTCCGTGAGACAACGTTTCCCATTCAAAAATGTTTTCAAATGTTTTTAACAGAAATGTCACCGTGCGAAGTCGGTGTATGCAATTCAACTACAGCGTCGTGCTCAAATGAAGAAGGTCTGGCAAACTGCCAGTGCCTTTACGAACTAGGGAAACATGTCTCTACCGATTATTCATGCTCAGGTATTGCATTCATTTGCTAAATATTATTTTACAGCATTTTAAATACACTGACGATTTATACCTGTGGTATATGTCTCTCCACTCTATACCAATAACCCCATTTGTTTATTTCTCTTAGTTTGTCCTGTGGCAGTCATAAATGGAATATGTGGAAAGTAAGTGCAGCATAAATTTTGATTTAAAGCTTTCGTGACTGCAGTAATTCATATTCTTAGCTCTTTCGGTAAAGTCACGTTGAAGGGAAACAATAAAATAATAAAAAATATATAAAACAATAAAAATTCTCACGACGTTTCGACCATAACACAAACGGTCGTCATCAGGTGTGTCGGTTCGCATTAATTTATTTATTTTTAAACGGTGTATTTATTTGTTTATAAAAAACGTCAGCGCCACGCGCAGCGATTTGGCTGTTTATTTAAAAGGACTAGTCCATCTATGTTCTCAAAAGAGGAGGGGGGAGACGAAAAATTAATGTATGCTGTCTGAAAGCCACCGTAAGCGTGAACAATAAATTAAGACCTGAAATGGTTTATCAAATCTTTCCAATGATTGCTAAGCCAGAATCCATCTTCTCAGTTGAAATTGTCTCTGTGCTTGTATATGTGGATAGCCTCATGAACGAATCTCTCATGGTAGCCAGATGACTTACAAAGAACCTCTGTCTTGGAAAAGTCAATGTCATGTAAGCCTACTGAATGATAACAATGATCTGCCACGGCCGAGGTGTTGGTCCTACCGTGTTTAAGGTCTGCTTTGTGTTCACGAATGCGGTCCGAGACATGGAGTTTGGTTTCTCCAATGTAACTACTACCACAGAGGCAACTTAGTTTGTAGACACCAGGGTACTGTATGTCCGGAATCACATCTTTTACAGATGGAACCAGATCACGGATTTTATGTAATGTGTTGAAACGGACCTGGATCTTGTGTTTATTCAAGATTTTGGAGATCTTTTTTGTGATCCCCGCAATGTAGGGTAAAGTGATGGTTTTGAAAGGCTCCTCAAGAGGGTCCTTCTTCATGGTTTGAGTGATAGCTTTGCGGATTGTATAGTCGGAGTAACCATTAGCCTTAAGAGCTTGGTGTACGTGCTTGAGTTCACTGCCTATGTGTTCCTGGTCGGATATGCATTGGGCTCTATGGTACAGAGTCTTGATGAGAGAATTATTCTGTGATGGGTGGTGGTGGGAATCCGGTTTCAGATAAGCATCCGTATGGGTAGCTTTCCTGTAGACAGAGTGGCTCATTGAACCATCAGGTCTCTTTTTTATTAGGACATCCAAAAAATGTAGCTTGCCATCTTTTTCGACTTCCATAGTAAATCTGATGGCTGGGTGTATGGAATTGATGTGGTCGAAGAATTGGTCTAGAGCAGACCGGCCATGTGGCCAGATGACAAAAGTGTCATCCACGTACCTCTTCCATAAGGTTAGGCGCAGAGTGGCAGTCTGGATGGCGTCAGTCTCAAATTTCTCCATGAAAATGTTAGCTATAACCGGAGATAAGGGGGAGCCCATTGGGGTGCCCTCAGTTTGTTTGTAGAAGTTCCATTCCAAGTGAAGTATGTATTAGTTAAACAGTGTCTCACCAGGTGGGGAACCTCAGTGTTTAGTCCTTGATGAACCAAGTCTTCAATGATTGCGATGGTGTCAGGTACAGGAACCTTGGTGAATAAGGAAACTACATCAAAACTGACAAGCAGGTCGTCTGGGGACAAGGAAATACCCTTGATTGTCGATACCAGGTGAGTAGAATTTTGTACCGCAGAGGTGGTTTTTCCAGTGAAAGGACGCAGGATTTCAGCCAAAAAAAACGAGCCAGTTTGTAGGTGGGGGAGTTGATAGTAGAGACGATGGGACGAAAGGGTATATCTACTTTATGTATTTTTGGTAAGCCGTATAATCTTGGTGGCCTGGCAGCAGAAGGTTTCAACGAAAACTGTTTAGATTGATCAATTAATGCGGTTGAATCAGAAAATATTTTGTTGGTTTGTGTGACGAGGCTCTTGGTAGGATCTCTTTTTATTTTTGTATAACTACCATCGTCGAGTAATTCTTTAATTTTGTTGTTGTATTCTATTTTATCCATGATGACAGTAGCATTGCCCTTGTCAGCTGAGAGGACTACAATGTCATCCCTCTTTTTGAATTTATATAATTCAAAACGCTCATCTTTGCTGAGGTTGCTAGCTGGCATCTTAGCGTTTTTGAGGGTTGCAGCGATTTCAGATCTTGCTACGTCTGCAGCGATGTGACCCAGGCCCCTGAGAGCAACGTCTACTTGGGCAATTATATCATTAACTGGTATGTGTTTAGGTGTGACTGCAAAGTTTAGACCTTTAGCTAAAACGGAATTCAGACCATCGGAAATTGAACTGTTACTGCGATTAATTACGACTTTGTAAACGTCTAACTTTTTGGTGTGTGGGTCCGGTCTTTTGTTGAAGAGGAGGTTAAATTTGGAAATCAGGTTGTCCTTACATTTGGTCGACATAGTAGCAGCTGAAGAGGCAGTCATATTGTCTACATGTTCCCAATCCGATGTGGACATTGTTGCCGTCAATGATAAGTGTGATTTGTAGAGTGTCTTGTCTAACTGATCTAGTTCGGTGCGTATAAGTCTGATTTTTTCTGAGATACGAGCTAAGCTAGTTTTGAAAAGAATTCGTTTCGCATTAGAAGAAGTTACAGCAGCAGAGGTCAGTGTAAATGCGATTGGTATTACCCCAGAGTCGCGGCATCTCTTCAGAAAGGTGAGAGACTCGATCAGCTGAGCCTTCTTATCCCGGAGTTTGTTGAAGGATCTTAAAGTTATGTGGAAACCCTCCCCGTAGGGGCGGTAAAATTTTGATTTAAAGCTTTCGTGACTGCAGTAATTCATATTCTTAGCTCTTTCGGTAAAGTCACGTTGAAGGGAAACAATAAAATAATAAAATATATATAAAACAATAAAAATTCTCACGACGTTTCGACCATAACACAAACGGTCGTCATCAGATGTGTCGGTTTGCATTAATTTATTTATTTTTAAACGGTGTTTTTATTTATTTATAAAAAACGTCAGCGCCACGCGCAGCGATTTGACAGTTTATTTAGAAGGACTAGTCCATCTATGTTCTCAAAAGAGGAGGGTGGAGAAGAAAAATTAATGTATGCTGTCTGAAAGCCACCGTAAACGAATCTCTCATGTAAGCCATCCGGCTACCATGAGAGATTCGTTCATGAGGCTATCCACATATGCAAGCACATAGACAATTTCAACCGAGAAGATGGATTATGGCTTAGCAATCATTGGAAAGATATGATAAACCATTTCAGGTCTTAATTGATTGTTCACGCTTACGGTGGCTTTCAGACAGCATACATTAATTTTTCTTCTCCCCCCTCCTCTTTTGAGAACATAGATGGACTAGTCCTTCTAAATAAACTGTCAAATCGCTGCGCGTGGCGCTGACGTTTTTTCATAAATAAATAAAAACACCGTTTAAAAATAAATAAATTAATGCAAACCGACACATCTGATGACGACCGTTTGTGTTATGGTCGAAACGTCGTGAGAATTTTATTGTTTTATATATATTTTATTACTTTATTGTTTCCCTTCAACGTGACTTTACCGAAAGAGCTAAGAATATGAATTACTGCAGTCACGAAAGCTTTAAATCAAAATTTAACCGCCTCTACGGGGAGGGTTTCCACATAACTTTAAGATCCTTCAACAAACTCCGGGATAAGAAGGCTCAGCTGATCGAGTCTCTCACCTTTCTGAAGAGATGCCGCGACTCTGGGGTAATACCAATCGCATTTACACTGACCTCTGCTGCTGTAACTTCTTCTAATGCGAAACTAATTCTTTTGAAAACTAGCTTAGCTCTTATCTCAAAAAAAAATCAGACTTATACGCACCGAACTAGATCAGTTAGACAAGATACTCTACAAATCACACTTATCATTGATGGCAACAATGTCCACATCGGATTGGGAACATGTAGACAATATGACTGCCTCTTCAGCTGCTACTATGTCGACCAAATGTAAGGACAACCTGATTTCCAAATTTAACCTCCTCTTCAACAAAAGACCGGACCCACACACCAAAAAGTTAGACGTTAACAAAGTCGTAATTAATCGCAGTAACAGTTCTATTTCCGATGGTCTGAAATCCGTTTTAGCTAAAGGTCTAAACTTTGCAGTCACACCTAAACACATACCAGTTAATGATATAATTGCCCAAGTAGACGTTGCTCTCAGGGGCCTGGGTCACATCGCTGCAGACGTAGCAAGATCTGAAATCACTGCAACCCTCAAAAACGCTAAGATGCCAGCTAGCAACCTCAGCAAAGATGAGCGTTTTGAATTATATAAATTCAAAAAGAGGGATGACATTGTAGTCCTCTCAGCTGACAGGGCAATGCTACTGTCATCATGGATAAAATAGAATACAACAACAAAATTAAAGAATTACTCGATGATGGCAGTTATACAAAAATAAAAAGAGATCCTACCAACAGCCTCGTCACACAAACCAACAAAATATTTTCTGATTCAACCGCATTAATTGATCAATCTAAACAGTTTTCGTTGAAACCTTCTGCTGCCAGGCCACCAAGATTATACGGCTTACCAAAAATACATAAAGTAGATACACCCCTTCGTCCCATCGTCTCTACTATCAACTCCCCCACCTACAAACTGGCTCGTTTTTTTTTTGGCTGAAATCCTGCGTCCTTTCACTGGAAAAACCACCTCTGTGGTACAAAATTCTACTCACCTGGTATCGACAATCAAAGGTATTTCACTGTCCCCAGACGACCTGCTTGTCAGTCTTTATCTAGTTTCCTTATTCACCAAGGTTCCTGTACCTGACACCATGGCACTCATTGAAGACTTGGTTCATCAAGGACTAAACACTGAGGTACCCCCCCTGGTGAGACACTGTTTAAACAATACATACTTCACTTGGAATGGAACTTTCTACAAACAAACTGAGGGCACCCCAATGGGCTTCCCCCTATCTCCGGTTATAGCTAACATTTTCATGGAGAAATTTGAGACTGACGCCATCCAGACTGCCACTCTGCGCCCAACCTTATGGAAGAGGTACGTGGATGACACTTTTGTCATCTAGCCACATGGCCGGCCTGCTCTAGACCCATTGTTCGACCACATCAATTCCATACGCCCAGCCATCAGATTTATCATGGAAGTCGAAAAAGATGGCAAGCTACCTTTTTTGGATGTCCTAATTAAAAAGAGACCTGATGGTTCAATGAGCCACTCTGTCTACAGGAAAGCTACCCATACGGATGCTTATCTGAAACCGGATTCCCACCACCACCCATCACAGAATAATTCTCTCATCAAGACTCTGTACCATAGAGCCCAATGCATATCCGACCAGGAACACATAGGCAGTGAACTCAAGCACGTACACCAAGCTCTTAAGGCTAATGGTTACTCCGACTATACAATCCGCAAAGCTATCACTCAAACCATGAAGAAGGACCCTCTTGAGGAGCCTTTCAAAACCATCACTTTACCCTACATTGCGGGGATCACAAAAAAGATCTCCAAAATCTTGAATAAACACAAGATCCAGGTCCGTTTCAACACATTACATACAATCCGTGATCTGGTTCCATCTGTAAAAGATGTGATTCCGGACATACAGTACCCTGGTGTCTACAAACTAAGTTGCCTCTGTGGTAGTAGTTACATTGGAGAAACCAAACGCCATGTCTCGGACCGCATTCGTGAACACAAAGCAGACCTTAAACACGGTAGGACCAACACCTCGGCCGTGGCAGATCATTGTTATAATTCAGTAGGCTCACATGACATTGACTTTTCCAAGACAGAGGTTCTTTGTAAGTCATCTGGCTACCATGAGAGATTCGTCCATGAGGCTATCCACATATACAAGCACAGAGACAATTTCAACCGAGAAGATGGATTCTGGCTTAGCATTCATTGGAAAGATTTGATAAACCATTTCAGGTCTTAATTGATTGTTCACGCATACGGTGGCTTTCAGACAGCATACATTAATTTTTCTTCTCCCCCCTCCTCTTTTGAGAACATAGATGGACTAGTCCTTCTAAATAAACTGTCAGATCGCTGCGCGTGGCGCTGACGTTTTTTATAAATAAATAAAAACACCGTTTAAAAATAAATAAATTAATGCAAACCGACACATCTGATGACGACCGTTTGTGTTATGGTCGAAACGTCGTGAGAATTTTTATTGTTTTATATATATTTTATTATTTTATTGTTTCCCTTCAACGTGACTTTACCGAAAGAGCTAAGAATATAAGTGCAGCATTTTTAACTTTTAATTTAAAGTATATTGACTGACAATTGAAATAATGAAAGCACTGTTTTTTCCCAAATGCTTGTGCGAATTGCTTTATCTGTCTCACTGAATTTTGTGAATGAATGACTACATTTGTTCTGAGGACAATTTAAAAATCACGTGCTGTAATTTCTTGAGGAATCAGTGACATTGTACCAATCACCATCTGGACGTTGTGTGCGCTCGAATGCAGCTGTCCTTTTGGCTACTCCGGGAAAACATGTGAAGACCGTGAGTATCGCACCATCAATTCAAATTACATTTAACACTGGCACAAACGATACATTGAATGGCAATTGCTTCACATCAGAAACGCGTTTCGTTTAACTCAACATACGAGCTTGAAAATAATTATACAGAAATTATTACTTATTTTTTACTTTTGAAGCTAAACAAAATACATTGTTGCTTGATTAAATTCAGCGTTTTAATAAAATGTACTGTATTTCATTTTGTTAAATGTGTTGTGTTCCTGTCATTGTAGCTTATATGCTAATTTTGGTGATACTGAGCATAATCCTGGGTGCAGTCATACTCATTGGGGGCATCACAGGCATCGTTTGCTGGTAAGAGCAGTGCATTATCAGTATTCACACATTCAATGTATTTTCATAACCACACAGGGTGGAGCAGTGCTGCAGTGGTCAGTGCTGCAATATAAACCCAATGACTCGAGTTACATTTTTCCCAGCTCTGAAAAAACCCCAGGACATATCATGGGGCACAAAAAAAATATCTTACAAATACTGGAAGAGAGGAACTACACGAAAAACTGAAAAAACGGGGCTTTTAATGTTTTATGTTTTGGGAAGACAGATTTCCCAGCACAGCAACCTCAGAGAATGGTCCTGGGGAAATCAGGACAGGTGGGAAATATTGGTTTGATTCTGGGCCATGGCTAACGATAGTAGGGAGTGATATCTTAAATGGTCCTAGACCCCACCTAATTCACTGTCCCATACTGACCAGCGTTTTGAAATATGGTAATGTACTGCACATGTTTACACTATACCCCACTAAATACACAAAGAAAGTACACACTGTTGATATACGATGTACATATAGACGACAGGGTCAGGGTGAGACATCTCTATAGCACCGTATTAAACACTTCTGTATTACATTCTTTGGGTCTTTCGGTAAAGTCACATAGATAGGTTCAAAGAAAATAACAAAAACTACGACGTTTCGATCGCAACACAAGCGGTCGTCTTCAGGAAAAGGGGGGTTAGCTTCCAAGGGCAAACTATTTATAAAGGTTTGAAATGGGCGTAGCCCAAATGTCAGCAGCCAATGTTAATGCAAGTGGTGGGCAGCCAACCCGACGGTGGTTCGTTTTCCACCAATCAAAGGGCTGCCAGGTGAAAATTAGCATGTTAATGGGAGATTAGCATGTTAATGGGAGATTACATCCTTCCGATGATTGCTCAGCTTGTACCCTTCTTCTCGGTTGAAATTGTCTGTGTCTATATATGTGGATGGCTTCATGAACGAATCTTTGTTGATAGCCAGCCAACATGCTAATCTCCCGTTAACTTGCTAATTTTCACCTGGCAGCCCTTTGATTGGTGGAAAACCAACCACCGTCGGGTTGACTGCCCACCACTTACATTAACATTGGCTGCTGGCATTTGGGCTACGCCCATTTCAAACCATTATAAATAGTTTGCCTTTGCAAGCTAACCCCCCTTTTCCTGAAGAAGACCGCTTGTGTTGCGATCGAAACGTCGTAGTTTTTTTATTTTCTTTGAACCTATCTACGCGACTTTACCAAAAGACGCAAAGAATATGAATTCCTGCAGTCACGAAAGCTTTAAGTCACTTCTGTATTACTCCTCAGAGGCAATAAATGGGTAGCATCGACTTCCTGCTCACCCTGTACAATACTGTATATATGACGAAATAACATTTTGTAAAATACAACTATTGCTCATTTTAATTTTCAACAACGTACAAAATATTGTTATACCGTTGCTAACTACTACTAGATGAATGCCTTCCTATGGCTATGTCAGTCATGGCGAGTTGCTGGACCAAGCTTCACCACACAGGTCAATGAGGGATGGTGAAAGAGAGGTACCCAAAATTGGTTCAGGTATCACTTGCCACTGATGTGAGCCATGCCCAGGATTCAAACTCAGGTTAAATGGCGAGTTCATAGCGCAAGTGCTCCAACCACTAGACCGTTGATTCAACACATTCATTACATAATGCTGCATGTTGTTAACAATAAGGGTACTATGCTAGTTGCTTGTGGAAGCTGTGATTTTGTCATGTTAACAGAAAGTAACCTGATATGCATCTCACCGATCTCTCCCCTGTGCTGTTAGTTGTCGAACACGCTCGCACAAGAAGCACAGCGGTGACCAAAGCAGACAGCCTTCTTTCGGGCTCAATGACAACAAAATGTGCGAATCAAATTTCCCCCCTGAGGCCGCTTTAGGTTGGGAAATTATTTTGCAGATGAACGCTAAAGAGGTATGGTTTCTCTTTTCCGAGGCATTTAGCTTGTGTAAGTGTGCATGTGATAATACAATTATTTTATTCTGTGTTACACATTATTATCGTTGTGTATGATTATTGCTCAATATCATGCATTTTTATTGTAATTATACGGCGGTAGACAGACAGGTTACCCAAGGCCATGCCAACCGTAATTACACTGGGATCTCAAGCACAACTAGTTGACGGTTGTCAGCCCAGTCACAAATTATTGGATAAGGAAACACAATTGATTCTAAATTATCTGCGGGCAAGATTATCCGGGTTGCTGATTTTATTCATGCTTATGAGAAGAAAAAAAATTGTACAAAAGCACCATTTTTGTATTATTAGCTGCTCCTCACTCACTGCGGGATTAGTGACTCAAACGTGTCCACAAGTAAACCGATTACTTACAAACGATACACACAGGCGGCACATTCTCTGACTTCACCCACACTCCACGTGGGTAAGGAAAACATGACCTTTTTTGCCTAATTGACGTATATTTTTCCGTATCCATGTTTATATTTTATCCAGGCCACTCCTACCTTTTATTTCCCCAGACAATTGGGCATTCCCTGTACAGTGTTGAATTGGGCGTTTCACTCAAGTTAGTTTAAAGTTAGAATAAATAAAAAAGGTTTGATTGACTTACAATGAAAACTCTTTGCTCGGCTTATAATAAAAGTGTTTTAATGTGTATAATGAGACCACTTGACGAACGAGAAATCTCTATTCGTATTGTAAGTACAGTAAATAACAAATACAATACAATGAAATTATGATATACAATTCCAAAGTAATGGAAAACTGAAAACGCGATAGCCGTCACATTGTGAAAACGTATATCTTATCACATCTCATCATGAGAAGAGTAATCAGGGCAACTCTGATTAGCACAAAAGCCATCTAAGTTCTCTCATGCAGCGGAACTGCCCATAGAAAACATTTACCCTGCGGACCTCTCAGGCCAAAAACTTTTGTCACTTTATACATTTAATGAGGACATTTTCCTTTGAATAGTTTTTCTTCCTTGCTGATTGTTTTAATGACAATTTTTTTGAGCACGATAGCCATTCGTTTTTTCCAAAAACCTAATGATACTCGTCTGTCCCGGGCTGTGACTCGTGGCTTTTGTAAGATGGCGCGGCCAATAAAGCCCATCCCGAGGGTTCACCTCAATACCCCGGTGACGACCGCCGGCACGAGCTCGCCACGCATCGGCAACCAAGAGATGATGATAAAGAGCAGCCCATGGAACGATGCCGCCTACGCTAACCCCAAGGTACTGGATCACATTCACACAGACCGTACTGCTGCCAACAGATATTTGCTGGAAAAAAAAATCTGCGCACTAACAATGACTGCGAAGGTGAGAAATGTGAAAAATAAAGCCGGATGTGGTTAGAGTATGGTCGGTATGTAAAAAACTGCTTTTGCACCATACGTAGCCAACCGAATTGAAAAGCAAAAGTATAGACTTTTCCAAAGGAAGTGTGCAGAGAAGATAAGACCATGATCGTGAGTCTCATAAGCAGGTACGGAAAGCTTTAGATATGAGGGTAAATATTTACTGATGTTTGATTTTGTTTTCAGAAATCAACACGTAATGGAGAGGACCAGCATCAAGACCAGGCGAACTTTCACAATGAATATGACAATTATTGTTTTTCACACGACACCACTGAAAGCTACTATTAACGAGATCATAGTGATTTATTAAAACTAATTTACCTACGATCGTGCTCCATTTATCCCCGAAACTTTATTACATGAACCCTGGTCATTTACTTGCTTTAATAAATGTGATACTGTGGCTACAATAATGATGATATGTTTTAAAAGTGCTGACCGTGTATTAAATATACATACAGGAACAGTTTTGTGAGTCTCTTACAACATATAATACACCTGAGAATAGGGTTTCCCCTTTTTCTGGCAACAAAACAGGTGTTAAGATCTTGATTTGAAGCTTTTGTGACTGCAGGAATCCATACTCTTTGGTTCTTTCGGTAAAGTCACGTGGTAGGTATAAAATAAAATAGATCACGACGTTTCGATCGCAACAGCCTGAAGACGGTCACTTGTGTTGCGACCGAAGCGTCGTGATCAGTTTCCTATCTACGTGACTTTATCGAAAGAATCAAAGAGTATCGCTGTTAAGATGTTAAAACACCAAACTGAAACCTTTTACAAGGAATCATGTCTGCATTAACCATGATGTAGATGCTCAACCCCGAGCCCTCATTACTCTGATAGTGGCATTGTCTTTGTGCTGTGTGACGCCTTTTGGCGTCCTCTGGTCTAACACCATTTTGAGACTAGGCTCAAAAGAAAGCTGTCTCTGGTGTGGACCAATCAGTTTCAAAGACAATGCACATATTATCAGAGTACGTTTTTTGTTTGCATTCTGACCACAAGTATTGTGGTTAATGCAGACATGATTCCTTGTAAAAGGTTTCAATTTGGTGTTTTAACATCTTAACACCTGTTTTGTTGCCAGAAAAAAAGGGGAAAACCTATTCTCATAGTTTGGTACTGGCAAAGGAGGTCCCATGATAGAGATTAGCATGTTAATGGAAGATCACAGAGCTGCAACCAAGGGGTCAGTGCACAAAGTGACTGTGAAAGCGCAAGGTTTGAAATCGGCATAAAGCACAACTAACATCATAAGGTGGTAGGATGGGAACATCATAGCCAATTATGATTGAAACTGGTCGATAACGTCCTTCCAATGATTGCTCAGTTTGTACCCATCTTCTCAGTTGAAATTGTATCTGTGTCTATATATATGGATGGCTTCATTAACGAATTTTTGTTGATAGCCAGTGGGCTTGCAAAGTACCTTCGTCTTAGAAAAATCTATTTCGTGTAAGCCCACCGCATTAAAACAATGATCAGCCACGGCCGAGGTATTGGTCCTACCGTGTTTCAGATGTGCCTTATGTTTATGAACACGGTCCGAGGCATGTAACTTAGTTTCCCCAATGTAACTACAGCCGCAGACACATTTTAGTTTGTAGACGCCGGGGTATTGCATATCAGGGATTACATCCTTCACAAATGGGATGAGATGATGCATTTTATGAACTGTGTTAAATCGAACCTGGATCTTAGGTTTGCTCATGATTTTCGAAATATTTTAGTGACCCCTGCTATGTATGGCAAGGTGATGGTTTTGATTGGTTCCTCAGATGGTTCTTTCCCAACGATTGGGGTGATAGCTTTATGGATTGTGTCATCTGAATATCCATTCATCTTGAGAGCTTGGTGTACATGTTCCAGTTCACTGATTAGGTGATGACGGTCGGAAATACATCGAGCTCGATGGTGTAGAGTTTCAATGAGGGAATTCTTCTTGGATGGATGGTGGTGGGAGTCAGGTTTTATGTAGGCATCCGTATGGGTGGCTTTCCTGTAGACAGAGTGTCCCATTGAGCCATCTGGTCTCTTTTCTATTAAAACATCCAAGAATGGTAACTTGAGCTTGTATTGTCTCTTAAGTTCCAAGCTGGCTGCTTCATTGACGTTTTTAATCAGTATCTCATCAGCGGCAGTGATGTCATCCAGATGGGGCTTTATTTGGAATTTTATAGGGTCACTCAGCAATCCTGTGCCAATCGATCTCAGTAACTTTCTGCGCACCAAATCTGGATTGTACTGGTCATCAGCTCCTTTTCCTTTAGATGCAAATAATAGTCTGTCCTTTAATTCGATAGCTCAGAACCAAATGTTTTGTGCAGTTTCTCTTGGCTCCTGAGAGATGTTCATCAACGTCTGATAGAGATCAAATATGCTTTATTCTCTATAGTGTCCCTTCTAAATGTGTTTTAACTTGTAAATAGTCAAATCAGTTTTTATTTCTAGCATATCCCTCAAATTTAGATCAGGACTGATTTCTCTGACTACTGCCTCAATGATATCAGACTCAGCATGGCCCTTACAGGTTCCTGTGTCGATCTGGTGCATCAGATTGGTGTAAGATTACTTGTCTTTCTGCCATCTTTCACCAATCTGCCCACAGATCCTGAATTATCTCCGTATTGTGACTTCCGGCACATTTCCTAGTCTGGCCATTAGTACGGGGTCCAATGCTGCTGTGGTTTTTGTTCCACCTTCACTTGAGGTTTTCTTTTCCTCAAGAGTTTTTTTCTGGATTCATCTTGTGACTCTTGTATTTCACCATCCAAAACTGCAGATAGTTTTGATGGTGGCAGTGTTTGGCCTGTTCCCTTGCTGTCTTTGTCTTTCTTCTGTATTGTTTCAATGAAAGACATCACGTTTTGAACATATGCACTGGCCTCATCATCATCTTCTTGGTCTTCAATTTCATCGAGTACTCTTTCTGCCATACAAATCAAAGCCCGTCTGCTTTTATCTTCACCAGTCTCATCATCATGGAAACACTTCAAATATCTGCATGTTTCCATGAGCTGAGCTCTCTGCAGCTGATTCAACGCAGTACTGGTCTTGTCCTGCAGCTGTTCCAGTGCCATGATGTGAAGACTGTTCAGATCCTTGCACAACTGTCTTTAGATATGCTGCCTGTACAATTGTTTGGTCCGTCTCGTTGGAAGAGTTGATCCCCGTCAGTGAACTCTGGGAAACTATCCTGCCTGGCTCACCAAAATATGTTGCACACTCGAAATGAAGGAAGTTGGCAGCAGTGACGTGCGGTAAGGTCAATGGCTAGGGAGGCACTGGCTAGTGTCAGTGCCAGATTCACACACTGTTTTGCCTCACGGAGGGGGCGTGGCCTCGCTGAGGGAGCGTGGTCTCACTGAGGGGAGCGTGTTAAACACGTCTCCCTCAGTGAGGCAGATGTGATTGCTGCCTCCCCTGGTGCTTTTACATTGCAGTTTCATGACGAGACCAGCGAGCCTAAATATCTTTATACACATACGTGAAATAAGTTACCTGGAGTTGGAAGGCGAAGACATGAAATGAAGGGGTCTACAAACATTACATTGGTGACGTACAGAGAGATAGTAACAGGCACACGCTTATTGCCCGCGCTCCATCCAGTTACTGAGGGGTTGTGCAATCAGAGGGGAGGATGAGCTTGTCGCTGCCTCACCTCTCGTCCTGTATTTGCAGCGGAGCTCCGCAAATTTGGCGATTTTGACTATAAAAATGATTGTAATCGTACAGAAATTACATTTATAACACAGATCAGTGGGGAAATCTTGATATTTACTTTATGTTTTGGTTCTATTCGGTAAAGTCACGTAGGTAAAAAATAAAACAACAAAAATTACGACGTTTTGGCCACAACACAAGCGACCTTCATCAGGTGAAGGGACCAAACTGTCCAGCGGACAGCGTTGGAGTGTCTGCTGGACAGTTTGGTCCCTTCACCTGATGAAGGCCGCTTGTGTTGTGGCCGAAACGTCGTGATTTTTATTGTTTTATTTTTTACCTACGTGACTTTACCGAATAGAACCAAAGAGTAGGAATCCTTGCAGTCACGAAAGCTTCAAATCTAGAATTTATTTTATTTGATTATTTTTTTACTTTTCGTAACAGCTATTTTCATTGGAGCATGACAGGTGAGGCTCTGCCTCCCCTACCTCCCCTGACTGCACGTCCCTGGTTGGCAGGTGCTGCAAATCGAGGGTAAACACATTTATTGCGGTAAATCTGTAAAATGCAACAGCACGTGGTGTCACACACAGCAATCCTCAACCGAGTCGCCATTAACCACGTGACTGGTGTACAAGTCCAGTTAAGTTACTCAAGAACCCTACCAGCCACCGACAGGCCCAACTCAGTTATCGCATGCTGGTGTACACACATGTGGATTGATGTACTGCACAGCACATAAGGACTTTCACAAAACCACACTTTACTCCCTTGCTGCATGAGGAAATAATTAAAAGAGTGGTCCATTCCTAATGTGCCACAGTGCTGCATGGAGAAGAGACTCAGTCGTAATTGGTCTGATGAAAAGGGTAAGATTTTGAGCCTGGACTTGGACAGGGGGCAGGGAATCCGCAGCACGGATGACTGTAGGAAGAGCTTTCCAAATCACTGGACCAATAAAGGAGGAGGGGACCTCCCTTCCAGTGGACACTGGGTGAAGATTTCAACAAAATCCACGGTTGCTGGAGTGGAGAACCAAAAGTCAAATTTAGTGGAGTGAGATTAGAGCGGAGAGGTAGACAGTGAGTAGTCGATGGAAAATCTTAAAAATGGCAATGGAAATCTTGAAGGTGACCCAGGACTGTCCTGGGAGCCAGTAGAGGGAGGCAATGAATGTGTTGTCGGGCCAATACCAAACGCATGTTGGTCTGCGATGTTAGTGGTGGTACAAGCTTTGTAGAGATTCCCTGCTTTGAGTCGTGCAACGCTACACCAGGTGGCAGCAAAGAGTCACGTGTGAATTCTAGATTTAAAGCTTTCGTGACTGCAAGGATCCATACTCTTTGGTTCTATTCGGTAAAGTCACGTAGGTAAAAAACAAAACAACAAAAATCACGACGTTTCGGCCACAACACAAGCGGCCTTCATCAGGTGAAGGGATCAGGCTGTCTCGAGGACAGCGCTGGAGTGAAACACAGCCACGCTCAGACCGCGACCTTTAAGCTGTGTGCGAGGAAACAAGGTGCCTTGACAAAGGAATTAGCATAAAAATTAGCATTTGATTGGCCGACTTTGCATAGAGGTGGTGTACGTGCGGGTGCACTTGCCGTTTGGCGCGGGGGGGGGGGGAGTTTACCTATTGATGGTGTGAAAAGGGAATTTTTAAGAGCTGCGAAAGTTTGCGGTACCATTACTTGAAAGATATACTGTACCATTGAAAATTAGTTTAATGTTTGGTTCGATTTAGAACATATTTCCAATGGTTGCTTAATTTGAAACCATCTTCTCAGTTGAAATTGTGTCTGTGTTTGTAGATCTGAATTGCCTCGTATACAAATCTCTGATAAAAACCCGTGAAAACAGTACTGGCTAGGGGACTGAATTTTGCTGTCACCCCAAAACACATACCAGTGGATGATATCATCTCTCAGGTCGATGTAGCCCTCAAAGACGTAGGACACATTCAAGCAGACGTTGCGAGAGCTGAAATAGCCACTATTCTTAAGAATGCTAAGAAACATCAGCAAAAATGAACGCTCTGAACTCGCGAATTAAAAAAACAGAAGTGATATTAGTCATCCTCTCAGCCGATAAAGGCAACGCTACTGTAATTATGGATAAAGATTCATACAACAACAAAATCCAGAATCTGCTCAAAGATGGAAGTTACTTAAAAATTAAAAATGACCCTACCAATAGCCTAGCGATAAAAACCAACAAGATCATCACAAGTTCGACCTCCCTAATCGACCCAACTAAACGTCCCTCCCTAAAACCTTCTGCTGCAAGACCCCCTAGATTCTATGGTCTTCCCAAGATTCATAAAGAAGGCACCCCACTACGACCCATAGTATCCACGATCAACTCCCCTACCTATAGACTAGCCCGTTTTCTGTCAGATACCTTGCTGCCTTTCACTGGCAAGACCGCCTCAGCAGTACTTAACTCAGCCCAATTGGTCTCTATGGTCAAAGACGTTGTACTGTCCCCTGACAATATCCTTGTCAGCTTCGATGTGGTCTCTTTGTTCACCAAGGTCCCAGTACCTGATACCATTGAAATAATTGAAAATTTGGTACAACATGGACTAGACCCCGATACACCTGCACTGGTTAGGCACTGCGTCAACAATACCTACTTTACTTGGAATGGCTCCTTCTACAAACAAAATGAGGGTACCCCCATGGGATCCCCCTTGTCACCAGTGATAGCCAATATTTTCATGGAGAAATTTGAATCAGACGCCATCCAGACTTCCACCCTCAGACCTTCCCTGCGGAAGAGATATGTGGATGACACTTTCGTCATTTGGCCACATGGCCTTCCAGCTCTGAACCTTTTCCTACACCACATCAATTCCAGACATCCCGCCATCAAATTCACCATAGAAGTGGGGAAAGATGGCAAGCTACCATTCTTAGATGTTCTGTTTGAGAGGAGACCTGATGGCTCATTGGGGCATTCTGTCTACAGGAAACCCACCCACACAGATTCCTACTTGAAACCTGATTCCCACCACCACCCAGCCCAAAATAATTCTCTCATCAAAACTTTATACCATAGGGCTCATTGCATTTCGGACCAACACCACCTGACCAGTGAATTAAAACATGTACACCTAGCCCTCAAAAGGAATGGTTACTCTGACCGTACCATCCGCCAAGTTGTTTCTCCCTCCATACAGAAACAACCACTTGATACTCCGGTCAAAACCATCACACTACCATATATAGCAGGCGTTACTAAAAAGATTTCCAAAATTCTAAACAAACACAAGATCCAGGTCCGGTTCAATACAGTACACAAAATTCGTGATCTGATCCCATCCGTGAAGGATGTCATTCCTGACTTACAGCAACCCGGGATTTACAAATTGAGTTGTACCTGCGGTGATTGCTATATCGGGGAGACAAAGCGACATGTCTCTGACCGAATTCGCGAGCACAAATCAGATTTAAAACACGGCAAAACGAATTCTTCTGCCGTAGCTGATCACTGTTACAACGGGTTTTTATCAGAGATTTGTTCACGAGGCAATTCAGATCTACAAACACAGACACAATTTCAACCGAGAAGATGGTTTCAAATTAAGCAACCATTGGAAAGATGTTCTAAATCGAACCAAACATCAAACTAATTTTCAATGGTACAGTATATTTTTCAAGTAGTGGTACCCCAAACTTTCGCAGCTCTTAAAAATTCCCTTTTCACACCATCACTAGGTAAGCTCCCCCCCCCCCGCGCCAAACGGCAAGTGCACCCGCACGTACACCACCTCTATGCTAAGTCGGCCAATCAAATGCTAATTTTTATGCTAATTCCTTTGTCAAGGCACCTTGTTTCCTCGCACACAGCTTAAAGGTCGCGGTCTGAGCGTGGCTGTGTTTCACTCCAGCGCTGTCCTCGAGACAGCCTGATCCCTTCACCTGATGAAGGCCGCTTGTGTTGTGGCCGAAACGTCGTAATTTTTGTTTTGTTTTTTACCTATGTGACTTTACCGAATAGAACCAAAGAGTAAGTCGCGTGTGAGTTTATATTGACGTGAAGAAAATGGAAACCAACGGGAAACTAGTTGAAGAAACATGCCTGGAATGCATGCAAATCTATGCAGTCGTATGCACGGGCACTTTTCAAATGATGGTAAAAAAAATCACGAAGGGCTCTTTGTTATTACTGATCAGTGATTATTGTGATGGGTATTTTGAGTATGGCATTTTCCAATAACGAAGATCAAACAACCACTGCAATCAACTCGTCGCTTTCACCATATTAAAATGCATCTAAATGTTAAAAAACACCGTTTTTTTGTCATGTAACATTATGAAATCCTTTTTGTTTGTAGCTGAAATTAAAGGCGTAAACGAAGATAAAACACGAGATGCGATACGAGTTTTGTGGCCTCAGTTGTTCAAATTGGGGAAACTTTTGACAGAGAAACCTAAAAAATGTTATTGTATCATCCCATTATTTGTTATCCCACAGCGTCTCAGATTACAACTATACGTTTACAAAACTAGAAATAACAGCACACAGATGCAAGTTCAGCAATTCAATGTGGCACCTAACGTAATTGTAATTAAATTCCCACCTTGGGAATGTCGGCATCGTGTGCCGATTGTACAGGGTGCTTCAAAAAAATATTAACACTTATGCTAATTTGCAACAATACCACGTGACATGTGCTGCTGCCACCGAGCTCTGGAGACCACCTGGAGAAGATTCCAGGCCACGTGTTGACAACGGTGGCGAACAGGTGGAGACTGACTTTTCGAAGCTATAAACATAGATTTGTTATCATGTTACAGTGTAACATGACAACAAATGTACAGTGTAACATGATAACAAATGTACGTTAAAACACATTTGAAGCACCCTCTATTTGTTTCAGTGGCACAACGCATACGGCAACGGTGGTGGACTCTTGATTCTCCTCCGAGCACTGGTGGTGGGGCACGTCCACAGGGCCAGCAGAGTCAACGACGATGATCCTCCACAAACATCGCAAGTTCCAAGGGAAACAGAGAATCCTTGACTTGCGTGAATCCAACAGAGTTGTAATTCATAATCACGTGTTTGGGTTAGATCGCGTTAAATATAAATGTGTCGTAACCCTCCACCACCCGACACAGCCAGTAAGGGTTGTCACGTAAACAAAACGGTGCCAATTAGTTACTACTTCAGCCCACCGGTGTATTGGATAGTAAATCCACAACATTTACCATTTAAGTACGACGTTTCGCTGGTAATTACATCCAGTATCACCGGACAAATTGCCAGAATTCTGGCAAATCGAAGTAGTAACTAATTGGGCACCACATTTTGCATACGTGCCAAACCTTACTGGCTGCGGCGGGTGGTAGAGGGTCTGACGACACACTTATATTTAACGTGATCTCACCCAAAAACCTTTATTGTGAATCGCGTGGGTCGCGAAAGCCTCCGCGTTAAATTGACCGTTTTAATGCTCCGGTAAAAAAAACACATTCCTGAGCACCCCCACTCCACCCAAAAGACGGGCTTTAACCACAGACTTTTGCCCAACTTTGTCTGACTCGCCCGACCAGTTATCGTGGCTTCACAGCTCAATGGCATGGGCGTGAACAACACAGGCCTCTCCTTGCGCCCCGCATCTGTGTCTCCAGAAAGAGAACAAAAAAAGGCAGCGGCAACATAACGTTACGAAAGCCCAAAGCCCCCCAGGAGTTGTCTTCGCGCACGCCCAAAGTTCGGTTTGAATTTTTGTTTTGGTTTCCTCCCCACTGGCTTCGTGGCTCGCGCGCGTGCGTGCGCCCTGCATTCGGTGCGGCATTGGGCGGCTTGCTGCCGACAAAGGTGGTGCTCCATCCACGGAGCCTTCGTCGAGGAGTCCATGGAGCCAGCTGACAGGTGGAGCGCTTGCAAAGTGGCCCTCGCTGCCTTGCTGCTTCTCTGCGCAGTCGGCGCTGGGACAGGTTGGTAAATTCGTGTTTGCCGTGCGCAGGTTCGTGTGAGGAGGCAGTATAAAAAAAAGGACTTCATTACAGCCCCCCCCCCTGACCCAGTGGTGGAATTCCAGATTCTTTTGGCGTCTGCTGCCTACAGGGGCACAGGCACTGTCGGCGTACCACACAGTGGGGGGGGCGGGGAAGAAAAAAGCGAAGAATTTGAGGCGCATCCCCAAGATAGGAGTTGAATTCGCAATTTTGAGATCGCGAGCCGCGCTCCACCGTCACCGCACGGCCCAGGCAGACGTGCGGGTGCTTGCGATCGCTCATTGAAGTTGTGTCCGTTCAATTTGTTGGCCCAACGGTGTGGGAAGAGATGCAAAGGAAAGTCACCTCAAATGACAGCACTGATTCTGTTAAGGGACTGAATGTTGTTTGTTGTGTGACGAGCGGTGGACGCCCTGTCTGCTGCCTGAGAGCTGTGACAAAAAAACAACAACCCACAAGTAGCTGAAGAATCTAAGACAGTTTTGTTCATCATGCATGGCAAGAATTAACCTGATATTTTGGCCAAGCGGAGGGAAAAGTACAGTAGGTGTCGTCCTTTCATGATGTGGTTGCAAACGCAGCAGTACTTCTTGTGGTTTTGTGAGGGAAACACTCATCAGTGGCCATCACGATTGACAGCAAGCAGCTACTTTTAATTCTGATTACCTGAGATATGTTATTATGCCATTCATAAAGTTAACAATGGGGCCATTGTGATACGATTATATATCTCTCTCGTTCTCTGAAAAAATGTGTAATTCTATAGCCAAAATTCCACACACATTGTACGCACTGCCAAATACGGGAGTAATCTTTACTCGTTGGTTCTATCGGTGAAGTCACGTAGGTAGAAAAATAAAACAAAGTAAATAAAAAAATATATCACGACGTTTCGATCGCAACACAAGCGGTCGTCCTCAGGCGGAAAAAAAAACAATTAAAAGAAAAATAATCCAGCAGTAGAACAGCAGTTCAGTAGTGGAACAGTAGAACAGCAGTTCCACTGCTGGATTATGATTTTACCTCCGTGACTTTACCGAAAGAACCAAAGAGCATGGATTCCTGCAGTCGCGAAAGCTTCAAATCACGGGATTAATCTTGTGTTCGTGGCGGATAACCTGGTTGTGTTTGCTTTACATCTGCAATGGTGCTGCTGCAAGGCTCAAACAATGTCTGCATCAGTGGCCACGCACACCTGTGTCGAGAATGCCTCCTGCTGCATCCGGACTGTGCATGGTGCGCAATGAAGGTACGTTCTGGTTCTCCGCGTACCATCGAGTCTTAATCCAATGCTATCATTGTGTGGACGAGTTTCGGTGTGGCAAAAACATCACCGCAAAGAAGAATCGGGCGGGAAAATGTGTAGTTCATTTCCTTATTCGGCACCCTATTAAAATGCGTAGGCAAATATGATTGCATTCAAGATGGTCTGGTAACAATACAACTTTCATTCCACCACTGTCCAAAATTACGGGAAGAAAATGGTTCCGTCCTTTCCAAGTGTACAGCTCATCATGGAAAAAGGAAGTTCTGAGGATGTCTCATCACCAAGTTTTTCCTTCCGATATGAGGAAGCTACTGGAGCTGATGCACTTTTAAATCTATATTGAAAATGTATTTCTGTAGAACTTATTTTTGTGTTTAGTTTGTGGTCCTTCCCCCTACTACGGTGCGAAAGAAGTTCAACATACGAACAGACATACTGTACAAGTTATTTTGGTGAAAGAAGGGAATTGAAGTTTGCAATGGCGAGTTGGACTATAAGGGTTTGCCATGATCTGTACCCCCAGATTGTCCAATAACCACATTCACCCTCACCCCATCACAACATTTACACTCACCCCATCATAGTACACGTCTTTCAACTGCACAAGTGGAGTGACTGATATGTGAAGGAGGCGTATTGTCTGAATATTAATTTTGTTAATTATATTCTCTAAAATTACACAAATGATTATTTTGTCATGGATTTTTAAACAATGTAGCGTGCTGTACATACTGCATATATTACACTGAGAGACGGTAAGCGCAACACATTTGAGAACGTACAAAAGCTATAGACTTCATACGTGTTAAGTAAAGTAAGTGGGTTTGAGCAGGACATTTTTCTAGAAGGGAAGGAGGACCGTGGTCGAGGCCACCAAAGGATGGACCCCAAAGAGATAGAGTGATGAGATGAGCTCGTGTGCATGTGCTAGATGGATTGTTGCAACACAAGAACAAGAGAGATTATGACGACTCGGGGAGGATATCATTCAAGGGTGGATAGACCAATAGATCATAATTGATGACGATTATAGCATTTGAACCCAACTGTATCTCAAGCAAGTCCCATACTTACAACTCTTGTAGGTATGGGATTCATTTGTCATTGATATTTTCCTTGGCCACCAACCCCCAATCCCTGACCTCTCTTCCTCCCCCACCCTCCGTCACCGGGGGAATGTTTTCTGGAGCTCGGCCCCAGACAGCTCTAGCTGAAATGACACCCCTTGTTGCACAGTTTTGCTGTCAACTTTGATGCGGGGCATTTTTGTCCAACAATATCTGGTCCCCAGGAGTACCCGAGTGGGAACTCGCGGTGCGACCTGCTGGCCAACTTGGTGGAGAACGGATGCCCACAGGAGTCCCTGGAGAAGTCCTCTAGCCACGTGCGTGTGGAGCAGAGCAATCCACTCAGCGACACGGGATCAGGTTCAGACAAGCAAATCACGCAGCTCACGCCACAGAAAATCACCCTCACCATGATGACAGGTGAGAAGTCTTATCTTATACACGAGTCCTAACCCTGCCTCTTGTGACATCTCTAACTTGTTTTTGGTGCCCAAATGCATTCATGAGGATTGAGAATGTGTCTGCACTTATACATACAGACTGAACAACATCTCGCCACTTTGGTCATTAACATCGCCTTAAACCTGAAAGGCCGAAAGGATATATATACAGTAGTCAGAAAACATTTCAGGCATCAGTCCTTCTTCGGAACAGGAAGACAGGGCAGATAAAACAGATAGAACAGTGAGACTCGTCGATGTAAACAGTATTTTATTATGTGGTCACTTCCAAAGTCCATGTAGTTTTGCTCGCGACTGGTAGATGAACACTTTTATATTACCAGATATTAGATTAGCAAAAACAACTTATCCTTTTTAAATAAAATAAACGTGTGCGTGGTAATGCGCCGACAACTCTGTTATGCAATTTAATCCGTGCCCTATGTCCGAGCAGGCGCTCCAGCCAAATTCCAACTCAAAGTTCGTCAGGTGGAGGACTACCCAGTGGACCTCTACTACCTCATGGACCTCTCCATGTCGATGCGCGATGACCTGGACACCATCCGCAACCTGGGCACCGACCTCTCTCGAGAAATGGCCAAGCTGACGAGCAACTTCCGCTTGGGCTTCGGCTCCTTCATCGACAAGCCTGTGTCACCGTTTGTCCAAATGTTCACAGACCCCGAGCACGCCAAAAACCCCTGCCAATTGTAAGTGTTGAATTCACACGTTGTTTATTGAGCGCTGTGTCAATTGGTGTAATACTGTAATGGTTCACACCCACATTCCCACACATGCCGCCAGGGCCGTTTGATCGTTACCAATCAGGGTCACAGCGCATTGTGGTGATTTTCACAGCCTTTAGTTGCTCCAGTAATCACGTGACGCCGTTACATGCAACACGTGAATTTAAGAACATCGATTCTTATGCATGTGATTCAGGGCATGCATCATAAGCTTAAACAATCATCGTAAATTAACAGGTCGATGCATCATTGCACCCTCGGAGTAAACCATTCGGTACTGTACTTTAAAGTTTAGTTTATGGACGACGTGTTTTAGTGATGCGTTCTCGATAATAAGCTGCATGTCACTTGTACTTTGCTCATTTTTGTTGCGAGAACAGGCCGCTCGCTGTTCACACTTAAGAGAACGACTGATGAAACACAACCACAACCATGTCACTGTGACTCACGGCGTGTCTGATTTCTGACCTCATTGCATACAAGTAGAGCACTTATTACCGACCACAAACATCCGTGTAATACTCACGTCAATATCCGTTGAAGCACAGTGACTAAGCAATGACTGTCATATGCGGTCCGGGAATTCCACACCTTAGAGTTATCTCAAACATATACCTCTTAGGTTTGAGCCAATTTTAAAGCATAGCATAGCAACCACACTTGAATCAACGTAATGCTACTTTACGTTATTATTATCCTTAAATTGTTATGTTTACATTTTCTTGCAGTGTTGTGTTTCAGTATTTTTTCCAACGCGTGTGATGGTGCACGCCCAATGGTATCGGACTCCCACACAAAATGAGAGCTGTGCACTCTTTTACAGGCGCACCAAGCCACCCTTCAGCTGCCCATCGACATATGGCTACCACCATGTGCTCCCACTCACCAACGAAGTCAACAAGTTTAACGAGGAGGTGCAGAAACAGGAGGTGTCCCCCAACAGGGATGCCCCGGAGGGTGGCATGGATGCCATTTTGCAGGCTACGGTCTGCAAGGTGAGGGATGCCAGCAGTTTGCCCATGACTGCCATTGGTTCTGAATAACACAATGCTTTTGATGTCAGACTGAAAAATGTGACGTAATTGTACTTTAATAAATGTCTTCGGTGAAGTTCCACTCATTATTCAAGTTATATAAACGCGATTATGAATTACGTGATTGAGTTTTTGGTGGGCTGTATTTCAAACCTTTAGAGTTTGAAGGCGGCTTCTAAATTGTTTCAGTAGCAGTATTATTAATGTGACGTTATTGGCCTTGGGGTCTAAAGGCTTTTGTAGTGTGGGCTTGAGAGCAGGGTGGGCTTGAGAGCAGGGTGCAATGCAGACAATCATTTGCCATACCACTGCGTAGGTTTTGCGGTTGTGATACATACCTATCCGGCATGTTTCCAGGTTTTTATTGCGTGTTGTTTGCCAAGATTTCCAACGTTTCCCTTCACATTCTGGGAGCTTCTTCAGTAAAATGTCAAACATGACGCCAAACAACATGCGGTAGCAGCCCGAAAACACATCAGATAACCAACAGCCACATCGGATAGCCAACTAAGAGAGTCTTGCAGTTTCCCACTTTTTCAAGCTGCTGCGCACACGGTTATGTTCTTCGCCATGACAGGAACAAATCGGCTGGCGGAGGGAGGCCTCCCACCTGCTGGTGTTCACCACGGACGACCATTCCCACTTCGCTCTGGATGGTCGGCTGGCTGGAATCGTCCAGCCCAGCGATGGGCTCTGCCATTTGGACTCGAGCAATGTCTACGTAATGACAGACTCTATGGTCAGTGTTGCGAGTAAATATCACCGAAGGCGAGCGTCAATGGAAATATTTGGAGTGTTGTGCACTGCATCCATTGCATGCCTATTTCTTTAGCAGAACACTATCTTGACGAATGTGTCCTTTAGTTACAATAAACAGCCACGCTTAATAAAAAAAAGTTTTCGCTCAGAGATAATATTGTCAGGTATTATTATTAAAGTTTTATTCATGCTTATGATTTCCTTTAGTGCCTCTTATCTCCATGGCTAAAATATAAGAATTGCCTTTTGTTATGCACTTAGAAGATTTATTTTATTGCTAGTTATGAATTTGAATTGAAAATATAAATGCATGCTGTGCATTGCGTATGCATTGGGTAGTCACTAAGCATTGTTACACTGATATTACTTGTATTAAAAGCAGCAAACAGCATTCACTTTCCCTTTTGGGTGCAAGCAATTGTGTAGATGGTGATCAAATCTTCTTATTTGGATGTAACAATAATGGAGATGCTTGTATGTAATGTTAATATAGTCTAACATATTTACATTTTCCCTGGAGGCTGCCTAACAAATTATATTTAATTTCCACAGGATTACCCATCAATTGCCTTGGTTAGTGAGAAGCTGTCAGAAAACAACATCAACCTGATTTTTGCCGTGACCAAGGAATTTAAAGAGATTTACACGGTGAGTTTCCACGCCACTAGAGTTACATTATTTATTACATTGGCTATTACTCCCACCATGGTATACATCCACAGTACACGACGTGTAAATACAAAACTTACATATGCATGCCATTACATAACAGTATCAACATACACTTACTCTATGCTAATGACCTTCTTTCTAAACAGAACTACACTGAGTTGATCCCAGGAACAACGGTCGAGGTTTTGACAGCCAACTCCAACAACATCATTCAGCTGATCGTCAGTTCGTACAAAGTACGTGTCCGATGTATCACGCATGCAGTTTTTCAATCCAAAATGATTTACAATTTTTCTTCAAGCGCGTGGTGCTTGCTGATGAGACAAGTGTTCCCTTGCCAGAGCCTGCGCTCCAAGGTGGAGCTGGAGGTGTGGGATCAGCCAGAGGAGCTGTCTGTCTCCTTCTCCGCCATCTGCCAGGATGGAAACCCCCAGCCCGGACAGAAGAAGTGCACTGACCTCAACGTGGGGGACACGGTACAATCCCAATAAACATGGCGACTTTGGGCCAAAGTTGACACGTAATTGGAAATGTTGGCACAACTTTCCATTTTTACCAGGATGGCAATACTGCGTTGCCTTCTCCACTGCGCAATAAATTGGCCCCTTTCCGTGAATTAATAAGGTGGCTCTGCTGGCAGTGATATGCTGATACATACAGTTGCATTTCTATATTCCCATCTGAAATTTTAATCATATTCTGGAAAAGTATTTGAATGTATTTGATAAATCATGAAAAGAATTAATGTTCATTTGAAACAGTCCATTGCCAATTTTCTGACAATTTCCAGTCTTCTCACTTCTCCAAAGTTCAAGTTTTAAGAGACGAGGATAATCTCATTTGCAAGGCTGACCTGGGTCATGAAAATGAGTGTAGATTGTGAGCTGCAACTAAAATATCAGTTAATCTCGTTGCCCTCCCGACTCTCCACTCCACACAAGAGGCCATTGCCAAACGCATCCTCTGACTATATATCTGATAAAGGGTACAGCTAATTGTGAATTTGGTGTTGTATATGTAATAATAAACATATAACTCAAGCAACATCATATAAAATCATAACCACCTCCCCCACCCCCCGCTGCTTCCAAGCCGTCGTGATGTAAACATCCCCTCCTCCTCTGATTCAGAAACTTGAGATGCAGTCGCACTTAGATTATTTATACATTTAAATTGCACGATATTGAATTGTAAAACAGGTCAATATTCAGGATGTCAACATTAAATATTCTGCCACAACGGTCGCATTTTGTCCCGTGTGTGTTGCTGGCCGAAGGCGAGCTTCGATATCACAGTGGAGGCACGCGGATGCCCGTCGCAGCCGGTGGAGAGGATGCTGAAGATAAAGCCCGTGGGTTTCAAGGACGCTCTGGAAGTTCGCGTGCTGCTGAGCTGCGGCTGCGCGTGTGAGAAAAGCGCGACGTCCAACAGCACAGAGTGCAATGAGCAAGGGAAGTCCGAGTGCGGCGTGTGCCTCTGCCAGGAGGGCCGCTTGGGCTCCACGTGCGAGTGCAGCGCAGAAGGGCCCGTGGACGGCTCGAGCGGTGGCAGCGCCAACGCAACCGGGGGTGACAGCGGCCCCCTCTTGTGTGGCCCCTTGCTGCCAAACCAGCCCGTGTGCGGAGGCCGTGGAGAATGCGTGTGCGGCGTTTGCGTTTGCTACACGAGCGAGTACGGGAAGATTTACGGCAAGCAGTGCGAATGCGACAGTTTCTCTTGCGGACGCCACCGAGATCAGCTTTGTGGAGGTAATCCATAAAAAATAATGCTGCTTTGTGTTGTGCAAGCACAGCGAGTTTCAGTCTTGAACCAGGACAAAACTCAATTACGTATCGCATTCGACATGCAGATATGAGCTTCAAGGTGGGGTGTAAAATACATACGTGCGTGACAATTTTAGGCATGTGAGAGTGTACAATGCTCGCAAGCCACTAAAGGCACAGTTTTATAACGGCAGGAAGAATTCACCTCCTAAAGCATTCCTTAGTCTTACTCTCTTTCCTGAGTATTACTGATTCGTTAAAACATTACTCTCATTAAATGTTGTCCACATCTGGATATAGAAATCATATCGAAATTCCCAACTTTCCAAAGCCTTAGAAAACCATAGTAAAATCATAATATGTACTTGGAAAAAAAAAGATAAACAGAAGTAACGGAAGCCATTCATATCAATTCCTAAATATGAATGAGTGTATGATTATTTATTTTTTACAGTACTGAGTAAAACAATAGTTATGCAACTCTATTATTCACTTGATAAGCTATCCTCACTGAATAATTATAATCCGGCCAGAAAATAGAGGCCTACACCCAGAATATAGCCCTTGTGAACCATGCAGCTGCCAAATGTAGCAATAAATATTAGAAAATGTGCGCTTACTGTTAAAAGTCCATCAGCAAACATTTGAATTCAAAATTGTTTTGTTGAAAGTGTCCATTAAAGTAAGAACGGTGTGTTTGGAAAGAGGAAAATAGACTATGAATAGGTGTACTTTAGGGAGAGTGCATCAGCAACGTTTACAGAGGCAGATGGAGGAGAAATTCTGCAAAACATAGGGCTGAGTCGTAAATAGAGAAAACAAGCTCCAGCATAAGAATACAAGCGAACAAGCCATCCGCCCAGACAAGGGGACACTCCCATATACTATAATCACACTGATTTGCAACAAATCGTTAAAATATTGGCAATGGTGAGCTGTGTAGTAAGTTTCACAGACATTGTGTAGGTGAGTTTAACACGTAGGCTTTCACGACCAATATCATCTATAAAAGAGGTTTATGGGTTAGATCGCGTAAATATATACATGTGTCGTTAAAACCCGCCACCACCCGACACAGCCAACTAATAAGGGTTGTCACGTAAACAGAACATGCCAATTCGTCACTAGTACAGCACACCGGTGTGTTGGAGAGCCAAGCCGCAACATTTACAAACTGAGTATGACGTTTCGCCAGTAATTACAACTAGCTTCATCAGGCGACAGCCAGATTTGTGGAGAAGTCTTACTGTTTCGTTCCTTATATAGAGGCGTAGATGTGGTAACCACGCTTCTGCGCTCTTGCACAATGTGGTGGTGGGGGGGATTACTGAGGCAACGTACATTATGCATGTGCATTATGCGAGCCCTTTGAACCTGTCCTTCCGTCTATTGTGTTTATTAAAATAGCCGTACCAACGGTAATCCTATTGAAGTATGCTGCCCTTTGCAGGCATGCATTTAAATAATGTATTATTTGATTATTGGCTTCCACGCAGCACTAAGACGGTAACTATCCGAACGGTTAAAGTTATTTTGATTTCTTTCAATTTTGATAGATTCTCTAATTAGTCTTGGCCAGTAGTAGCTAGTTTTGCACAAAACGTCAACATCAAAATCAATTGAGTGTCCTTGTTGGCACACGTGTTCTGCTACTGCTGACAGTTGTATTTGGGAGAATTTAATATTTTTCTGATGTTCTTTTAGTCTCGTGCTGATCATTCGTCCTGTTTGCCCAACATAACATTTACCACAGGTGCAGTTAATCCTGTACACACCTTCTGTTGATAGCTTCGGTAATACATCTTTTGTACCAGATATTAGATTCTGTATTTGTATGTACCGTGCCTCAGATGGATAGATAGACAGACAAAATATGTCAGATGGCTCCCTTAAAGATGGTGGCCACTGCCAATAACAAAACTCTCTATGTTGCTCTCAGCACCGTTATGTTAGATGGTTGCTTTGGAAATGAAAAGAAAATACATACAGAGTAGTGAATAATATAGATAGAGTACAGCAACGCATAAACACAACTGGACTTCCAACACAGCTATGTCCATCACAAAAGCAATAACCATAGAAACGTATGACAAAAAACATTGTGCTAATAATAATAATATTTATTTATCCAGAAAATCCTGTCCGAATTTTAAGACTCTTGTATAGGATGGTCCTACTTGGGACGTTTGGTCAATTCCTTAAGAGTATGACCAGTAGTAGTGTCCAGCCAACTCTCTGATGCGTTTTGAGGCTGTACCACATGCTGTACCACATGTTGTTCGGCATGTCTCACGCTTCTCTATGTGCCGGGAGCTTCTCCAGGAACCTAATACCTTTCTTCATTAACTGATAAAACTCCCGGCACGTGGAACAAAACGTCGGACATGTCGATGAATGTGCGGTACAGTACAAACGCGAAAACCCTACGTGGTGACGTCGAATCTGTTCGCCTGTGCCATCATCCTCCAGGCCATGGGGACTGCAACTGTGGTGAGTGCCGCTGCCACGTGGACTGGTCGGGCGACCTCTGCAACTGCACGACGCGCATGGACTCGTGCGAGTCGTCAGACGGGCTCCTGTGCAGCGGACGCGGCGACTGCACGTGCGGACGCTGCATGTGCACCACGGCCGGCAGCTCAGGCGACACTTGCGAGCGCTGCCTCACCTGCACTGACGTGTGCACGACCCGCAGGTACGGGCGCGAGCCACGGGTAAGAGGCCCACAGCTGTCGGTGCCGTGGGTGTCCACCCCCGATGCCGAGGGTCACGAAAGAGGCACTGCGTCCACCGCACAATCGCGGCTGTCAACTGTGCCACCAAATCAAGTTTGTGCCACCCTATACTCTTTGGTTCGATTCGGTAAAGTCACGTAGGTAAAAAATAAAACAACAAAAATCACGACGTTTCGGCCACAACACAAGCGGCCTTCATCAGGTGAAGGGACCAGCCTGTCTCGAAGACTGCGCTGGAGTGAAACAGAGCCAAGCTCAGACTACGACCTTTAAGCTGTGTGAGAGGGATTAAGGTGCCTCGACAAAGGAATTAGCATAAAAATTAGCATTTGATTGGCGGACTTAGCATGATGAAAGGTGTAGCACGCGGCAGTGCACCTTTAAGCTGTGTGAGAGGGATTAAGGTGCCTTGACAAAGGAATTAGCGTAAAAATTACCATTTGATTGGCGGACTTATCATGATGAAAGTTGTAGCACAGTGATCGGCACCGGCAGTGCACCCGCCTGTGCTGCGAAAGTTTGGGGTACCACTACTTGGAAAAATATACTGTACAAATGAAAATTAGTTTAATGTTTGGTTCGATTTAGAACATCTTTACAATGGTTGCTTAATTTGAAACCATCTTCTCGGTTGAAATTGTATCTGTGTTTGTAGATCTGAATTGCCTCATGAACAAATCTCTGATAAAAACCTGTGGGTTTGCAAAGAACCTTGGTATCGGAGAAAATTATATTGTGATCACCCACAGCGTTGTAACAGTGATCAGCAACGGCAGAATAATTCGTTCTGCCGTGTTTCAAATCTGATTTGTGCTCGCGAATTCGGTCAGAGACATGTCGCTTCGTCTCCCCGATATAGCAATCACCGCAGGTACAACTCAATTTGTAAACCCCGGGGTACTGTAAGTCAGGAATGACATCCTTCACGGATGGGATCAGATCACGAATTTTGTGTACTGTATTGAACCGGACCTGGAACTTGTGTTTGTTTAGAATTTTGGAAATCTTTTTAGTAACGCCTGCTATATATGGTAGTGTGATGGTTTTGACCGGAGTATCAAGTGGTTGTTTCTGTATGGAGGGAGAAACAGCTTGGCAGATGGTACGGTCAGAGTATCCATTCCTTTTGAGGGCCAGGTGTACATGTTTTAATTCACTGGTCAGGTGGTGTTGGTCTGAAATGCAATGAGCCCTATGGTATAAAGTTTTGATGAGATAATTATTTTGGGCTGGGTGGTGGTGGGAATCGGGCTTCAAGTAGGAATCTGTGTGGGTGGGTTTCCTGTAGACAGAATGCCCCAATGAGCCATCAGGTCTCTCAAACAGAACATCCAAAAGGAGACCTGATGGCTCATTGGGGCATTCTGTCTACAGGAAACCCACCCACACAGATTCCTACTTGAAGCCTGATTCCCACCACCACCCAGCCCAAAATAATTATCTCATCAAAACTTTATACCATAGGGCTCATTGCATTTCGGACCAACACCACCTGACCAGTGAATTAAAATATGTACACCTGGCCCTCAAAAGGAATGGATACTCTGACCGTACCATCCGCCAAGCTGTTTCTCCCTCCATACAGAAACAACCACTTGATACTCCGGTCAAAACCATCACACTACCATATATAGCAGGCGTTACTAAAAAGATTTCCAAAATTCTAAACAAACACAAGATCCAGGTCCGGTTCAAAACAGTACATAAAATTCGTGATCTGATCCCATCCGTGAAGGATGTCATTCCTGACTTGCAGTACCCCGGGGTTTACAAATTGAGTTGTACCTGCGGTGATTGCTATATCGGGGAGACGAAGCGACATGTCTCTGACCGAATTCGCGAGCACAAATCACATTTGAAACATGGCAGAACGAATTCTTCTGCCGTTGCTGATCACTGTTACAATGCTGTGGGTGATCACCATATAATTTTCTCCGATACCAAGGTTCTTTGCAAACCCACAGGTTTTTATCAGAGATTTGTTCACGAGGCAATTCAGATCTACAAACACAGACACAATTTCAACCGAGAAGATGGTTTCAAATTAAGCAACCATTGGAAAGATGTTCTAAATCGAACCAAACATTAAACTAATTTTCATTGGTACAGTATATTTTTCCAAGTAGTGGTATCCCAAACTTTTGCAGCACAGGCGGGTGCACTGCCGGTGCCGATCACTGTGCTACACCTTTCATCATGATAAGTCCGCCAATCAAATGCTATTTTTTACGCTAATTCCTTTGTCAAGGCACCTTAATCCCTCTCACACAGCTTAAGGGTGCACTGCCGCGTGCTACACCTTTCATCATGCTAAGTCCGCCAATCAAATGCTAATTTTTATGCTAATTCCTTTGTCGAGGCACCTTAATCCCTCTCACACAGCTTAAAGGTCGTAGTCTGAGCTTGGCTCTGTTTCACTCCAGCGCAGTCTTCGAGACAGGCTGGTCCCTTCACCTGATGAAGACCGCTTGTGTTGTGGCCGAAACGTAGTGATTTTTGTTGATTTATTTTTTACCTACGTGACTCTACCGAATAGAACCAAAGAGTATGGATTCTTGCAGTCACGAAAGCTTCAAATCTAGAATTTGTGCCACCCTGTTGAAATTAACACAAACGCTGATAGCGCTATAGAATTACAATGGTGATACTCCGGTAACTGCAGGTGTCAGAATAAAGCAGTTTGGCTTTTTTTTAAATGCACTGCAGATGCATTTAGTAAAAAAAAAATCTGAAATAATCACCACACTGAAGTTGATTCGTTTATTGATTCATCTCCTTAATACGTAATTTTTCCCGTTTATTTTGTGTTGTGTTGCTTTGCCCCGGTTAGGAAAAAGACTTAATTGGGTTCAAGAAAATGTTTACAATAATCCTGCTACTTTTGATTTAAAGCTTTCGTGACTGCAGTAATTCATAATCTTAGCTCTTTCGGTAAAGTCACGTTGAAGGGAAACAATAAAATAATAAAATATATATAAAACACAATATATAATAAAATATATATAACACAATATATTTTATTATTTTATTGTTTCCCTTCAACGTGACTTTACCGAAAGAGCTAAGAATATGAATCCTGCTACTTGTTGACTTCTACTACCTTTGCTTTGGCAGGCCATGTGTGGAGTGCAAGATCTACAAAGTTGGAAAGTATGCAAATGAGACGGACTGCTTCAAATTCTGCAAGATTCCCATCACATCAGTCGACACTCTGGGTATGATGGCCATTGTCTACTGGCTCTGTCAGCAGACAGTTTTGAGAGCGTGCACACTTGATACTTCAACCAGTTTCGATTTAAAGCTTTCGTGACTGCAAGGATTCATCTTCTTTGGTTCTTTCGGTAAAGTCACGTAGAATGAGAATAAAATAATAAAATAAAATAACAATAAAATTCTCACGACGTTTCGGCCACAACACAAGTGGCCTTCATCAGGTGAAGGGACGAGACTGTCTCGAGGACAGCGCTATGGCAGAAACGTCGTGAGAATTTTATTGTTATTTTATTTTATTATTTTATTATCATTCTACGTGACTTTACCGAAAGAACCAAAGAAGACTTCAACCAGTCTTTTGGCGGAATAGTGCTTAGCCATGTTTATTTCAATACTATCCTTTAACTGGATTATGTTGTTGGTTTCGTTTACAGGCAACGACAGTTCAGCTATATCGTGCAGCTACAAGGATGAAAATGATTGCGATGTACAATTCACCTACATGGAAGACACCTTTGGAAAGTCATCCATTGCCGTCTTAAACCATTTAGGTACAGCAAGACGGAAATATACAGAGTATAAAAATGCCACAATTCCTGGCACAATTACATTTTCAGAAAAGTCACCACTTATTTACAATTTACCACAGTATAAACTTAAAATAGTCCATAATTATCATTGGCCATGATCATTCTACTGCTGGATTATGGTGTTCCTAAGCCATTGCCATCTCTCGCAGTCTTGCAATGCAACCTGCACATGAGCCGATGTCATTGCTCCATCTCCACGGTAGACGTGATCGCAGATGTGTTCCCTCTTTTTCATAACACGACGTCAATACTCTTGACCACCGGCCATCATCCCTTCAGTGACGTGTCCTCTCCTCAGTGCCTCCTGCCTTTTCTTCGCGGTCAATATGAACCCTCGATCTTGCATTTATTCTCTCATCAGTGTATTCGTCTTCCCGTCTCCCAGTATGCTCATCTATGATTTTTGTGTTAATGTCAGCTTTTGTACAGTTTTTTTGTTCAATCTCCTTTTCTGATCCATGTATCATAGCAGGAAATATACACTGATAGAAAAAACCCTGTTCTTTAGGCTTGGTAAATAAAAACTAGTCTCAAAAGCACTTATGTTAACCGACTGTTCAACAACACAATACATTCTCTTCATAGAATCTGAATGCAGACATGATGTTGATGCATGCTTTGACTTGGGTATGAAAGAATATATAGTAACATAAATATTTGTTACGTTGCAGGACCATAAGATGGTAATGACTTGAGGAGGGAGGCCTTCAACCAGCATCATGGCTGATGATTTTGATGATGCTATAAACATCATACAATACAGAGACATGATTATTGGTCCAAGAGTTCCAACGTTGAGACACACTGGAGAAGCTCTTGGATCTTTATATGTTGCCGAATAAAATGTACTCCCTACCATCTGTACCGTCACTTTTGTATGTAAACATTGTGTTTATTGTGTTTGAAAGAATGGTAAAAACAATGTAAAAGTAATAATAGATTATATAACCCCTTTTTACAGTTGTCGGTCTAACTTGATAGAAAATGTCCAAATCACTCCATGCCAATTTGACCTTGTTCCCCGCAGAAAAGTCACAGAAAACGTTCGTCATCCAATGCACAAATCAGGCCCGGTGAATTAGTTTTCCAAGAGTTCATAGTTGTGACACTTGTCCTGGGAAATCTGTAAGACTTAGGGGTGAATTAAAAGTCCTGGGCTTTTGTTCAGTTGCATGGAGTTCTCCCCTCAGTCTGGCACTGTGATACAAATATTCTTCTCCAGTATGTATGTTGAACTTCTTTCGCACCGTACGTAGCCAACCGTGCTAATCGGAGGTGTGGTGTGATCGCCATGTGCATGCCTCTGCGTAGTGTGTCCCGCGGGGCCCAACATGCTGGCGGTTATTCTGGGGGTAGCCGCCGGCATCCTGCTGATCGGGCTGGCCATGCTGCTTATCTGGAAGTTGCTCATCAGCATGCACGACCGTCGCGAGTTTGCGCGCTTCGAGGAGGAGAAGCTGCACGCGCGCTGGGACTCGGTACGTGTCGCCTGTGCCCTCGAGTCGTGCGGCTCCCTCAAGTGGCCCTCGCCAACAACATTTATTAAATGGCTGATTTTGCTTATGAGGCTTATCGGGCCCATAACTAGTTTTATCGTGAATTCCACACAAATCTGCCACACAAGTCTGAATGTTGCAAACATTTAACTTTTTCAACACTATTGAAACGACTATATTGAGGGTGTGCGGCAGTGGTGTAGTGGTTCGCGCACCGCCATATGAACCTGGTTACCCGAGTTCGATTCCCAGCTACAGCGAACATCAGAGGCGAGTATTATTAAGTAATACATCTTACAACTACAATTCCTTATAGAGGCAACACATACTAAATAACTGATTACTAATCTATTATATAATTAGAATACCCCCCCCCCCGCCTCTGATCTCTGCACCTGATGGGTTAAGTAATAACGTCATCTTGCTCTATTTAAGACCGGAAGCAGGTGGATTGCTTCACTATTCTGGCAAATCGCCCGATGAGGCTGGATGTAATTACCAGCGAAACATCGAATTGTAAATGTTGTGGATTTACTCTCCAACACACCGGTGGGCTGCAGTAGTAAGTAATTGGCGCGTTGATTACGTGACAAATCTTACTGACTTCGGGATGGGGAGGTTTACGACACATTTATACTTACGAGATCTAACCCAAAAACCTTTCTTATGAATAATATTGGTCGTGAACGCCTAAGTGTTAAACTGACTGGTGGGACTATGCCCTAAAGAAGGCGTTGTCGGCCAATCAGTTTAAAAGACAATGCATACACGTTCAAAGCATGTTTGTTTGCATGTTCACCACAAGTATGTGTGGTTAATGCAGACTTGATTCCTTGCAAAATGTTTATATTTGGTGTTTGAACATCTTAACACCTGTTTCATTGACAGAGAGGGTATAACCTATTCTTATTTTTTCATACTTCTTATAATTATCATTATTCAATCGTATTCATACTGCCGCTACAAAACAATTTCACAATTGTGTAAAACAGCACTTCTGCGTGCAATAGTTTTTTTATATATAAAATTCTTGTTTTTGTTTAAATTTAGAAGAAATCGTTTTAGATTAGAGTCTAACAAATGCTGAACAAACTCTCTCTATATGTGCTGTTTTTTATAACAAATAACATATTATTGTCTGTCCTCTCAGGGCCAAAACCCGCTGTACAAGAACACCGTCACAACATTCAAGAACGTGGCGTACAAGGGGACAGGCGCAGAATGAGGAATTTCAATGCAGAAAAATAACGCCAACAATTTTTTTTATTTTATTTTAACAACGAATTCGCTGGTTCCCATTGTGATGGTCAGGATTTAATTGACATACAAATGAATGTTTTGTGCAAGCTGGACAAGGTGTAATTTTTTAAGTGCTGTAGTCTGGGTAATTTTCCCAAAATTAAATTATGTCATGGTATTAAAGCAGCTAATACCACAACGTGAAATACTGTACCGTATTTCTATGCATGAGCAATATATTATTTTGGGAGTTACAAAACAGCAGCTAAATCTCCCGAGGCAAATAATGCATAGACCGTCCTAGTCTATTGTGTTATTATTGATGAAAATGTCACCTGTAATCTCTTTAAAAGAGCACCATGGTGTCTAAAGAGCCCCTTTTACACGAGCAGTTTTAGTCCCTTTAGACCCAACATTGAAGTACAATAGAAATTTAATGGGGTACTGAAAAAGCCAGTCGGCTTAAAGTGAACGTGCTGCATTGCCATTTCACACAATAAGATGTTCATATATAAACTGTAATTCTCATGCCCCACTCCAGATGTTCACAATAATAGCTGTGAAAACATTGGTATGCACTCAGCCATAAATCAATCACCGCAATTCACCATTCCAATATTATGGTGCACATGGAGTGTGAGAATAGCGCTGTCTCTTGCCATCACTCAAACATTCATGCCTTCCACACACGGGAGCCGATAACAGGCCTGCTCACTGCTTTAGACTCTCCTTTCCATCACCATCCCCTTTGTCAGCTGAGCAGAGATGTTTTTTTTGTTATGGAGTCCAATGTCAGTTACATCACTGTGCACATGTACGGGAACAAAATGCCTCGCTTTTGCCAATATATGTGAACTTAAACGAGCAGGATATGCACCTTGAATTTTATATATTTTTTATGAAATTCTAATATGTTTAACAATTTTAATGTTGCTGTACATGCATATGGTACAGAATTTTCCGAATGCACAATTGCAGATGCTTGTGCTGAGCCATTTTATACCTTAAATGTTACCCACAGTATAAATCCTGTAATAAAATGCAAACAAGAGTCCAGTTAGCCTGCATGCTCTTTCAATTCGACTTTTCCTGGTCACAATCATTGTTAGCCTTGAGATATGCACTGCTAGATGAAGGCCTCCCCACATCAGAACCATCGCTCATCATCTTGTCGACCTACAATCCATCTCGCCCTGCACATCAGCTGATCTCATCACTCATTCTCCATAACGGTCGTCTTCTTGGGCATGTCTCCTCTGGCCGTTATTCCCATCACCAGTCTCATCCAGCTAGGCATAATGGCATTTGATATTCAATTGTTTTTTTTTCTCTTAGAATTTAGTTGATTGAATATTTGTGGTCCATGGTACGAAAACCTTTTCTAAATACAGCTTGCACGTGCGGTTGGTTAGTCTCTTAATATTTCTTATTTGTTTTCCTATGGTCTACATGAACACATTTTATTCGTGTGATAGGAGGCTAATGGATTTGTTATTCTTCAAATCAGTTGTCTCCCTTTTAAAAAATGTTGCGCTATTTAATTTGTATAATTTCCCCCCCAATGTATTCCGATTGTATTATCCGCATCATGTCATGGAACAATGACTCGAGGGAAATCTCAGATAAGTGTGCACTGCGTATCGAGTCGGCCCCACTCCAACCTTTCTCGGAGTGAAGCTGGACCATATGCTAACCTTCCACGACCACCTGAAAAATGTAGCCGCCAAGACGAAAACAAGGGTCAACCTGGTCCAGAAACTGGCAATCACAAGCTGGGCAGCATCAGCACCCAGTGCTACGGACATCAACGATGTCCCGTGTGTACTCTGTAGCCGAGTACTGTGCACCAATATGGACCAGAAGTAGTTCCACTCGACTTGTTGATGTCCAACTGAACACTGCAATGCGGTGTATCACTGGAGCTCTCAAGTCGAACCCAACACGCTGGCTGGCCGTGCTGTCACACATCTGTTCCCCAGCCATCTGCCGTGATGCTGCAACCCTCCAGGAAGTCTTGCAAATTGAGGAAAACAGTCGCCTTCCCATTCATCAGGACCTCATCAGGACCCATGCCCTTAACCTGAAACAATACGAATTCAATCCTCACGAAGCTTGGAAAGCTGAATGGGGTTCGGAAGAAATCGCAAACACCTTGTGAAAGACCCAACACAAAATATCTCTGGTTTTGAACTTCCACAAAGCTCACGGTCCACCCGAAACCGCATTCGCACAAATCGTGGCAGATACGGATACCTAATGCACGAATGGAAAATTAAAAGCTCTCCAGTGTGCGCCTGTTGCCATCCAGAACAGACCATACAACATATTACGATGCAATTCCCAATCCACGAATATGAAGGAGACATCAAAGTAATACACTCCACTGCTCCTGACGAGGTTACCTGGCTTAACCACCTGAATGTTGCTATGCATCTACATCAGCCATAAAAATAGAAAATATGTTTTCACAGCAGGAGTAGCAATTTTCCATACACCCTGCTATGTAATACAACATTTTTCATTCACAGCTCAAATTTAGGTAAATTGCTGATTTTTTTACATCAATATTTTTTGTGCAGTCATTGGTGACCAGATTATGAACTTGCTATGCAGTACTTGGTCGGTGGTAGACCAAAGCGGATGCCTCACTGTGTTTTATTGTTGTTAAGTTGAAATAACAAAGGAATGTTCTCACATGGTTCAGGATGCATATTGTTGGTGGCTGAACAACAACGAAGAGCAACATTGCTGGGATATAATTTCGTGATGCTGCGTTGCCACTGGTGCACAAACACAATAAATAATTTTTAAAAACTCAAAACACTCAACAGCACGGCCATACAAAATATAATCGCGACGTCTTGGGCATCGGCCCTTCTTCATACGCCAGAGATATGGTGGATAATAAGGGCTGGAGACGACACAATATTTGGGGATTGTTGTGTCAATAGTTATTTTAGTGTACCTTTACATGTTTGGCAGCTTATACGAGTTTGTGAATTTAAATTCATACCCAGGTTGTACTGTATATTGTTTAAAAATTTAGCGTAGGATTTTTTGAAAAGTTATTTTGTTACCGATTCTAACAATTATTGACTAACGTTTGCCTAAATAAAAAAATGCATGCAAATCTCTACAAATACTCTGGTGATTTAAAGCTTTCGTGACTGCAGGGATTCATATTCTTTGTTCTTTCGGTAAAGTCACGTAGAAGGGAAACAATAAAATAATAAAAATATAAAACAATAAAATTCTCACGACGTTTCGACTGCAACACAAGCAATCATCATCAGGTGTGAAAACCACAACAAGAAATTTTGAAAAACCACAACAACAAATTTTCTTGTTGTAGTTTTCACACCTGATGATGATTGCTTGTGTTGCAGTCGAAACGTCGTGAGAATTTTATTGTTTTATATTTTTATTATTTTATTGTCTCCCTTCTACGTGACTTTACCGAAAGAACCAAGAATATAAATACTCTGGTGTTTAACATATATATGTAACTACAGGTTACTATTCATCACGTTTTTATTTTGCATATTTTTTTGCATAGAGTATTTAATATTTGGAGTGGTGTTGTATGTTGAGCTTCTTTTGCACCGTATGTAGCCAACTGTGCTAATCGGAGGTTCGTGCACTGCAATGTAGCTGGGGAAACGATTTTGATTCCTGGCCTTAGCTCACATGAGTGGCAAGTGATATCAAAACAAGTCGTGGGCCCCCACACCAGCCCGCGCTGATGAGTAGTGGTGAAGTATGGTCAAACAACCCCCATGACTGACATGGCGTGGGAAAGCCTTCATCCAGCAGTGGATTGACACATGCCCCAAAACTTTGAATTATTGCTATTAAAATGCAAACATCAATAATTTGAAATTATTATTTGAGTCGAATGACATTTCATTACACAAAACATAGTATTGGTTTATCTTATTAACATAATAAGCTAGTTGACGCTACAACGTTAGACAGCTACTATTTCTGCAAAACCTAGCATCACAATAACTGTGATATCAAGTAAGCGCCATGGTAACAAAACCAAGATTCCCAGACAGCGATGGGCGCTGCTCATTGCGAAATAAAACAATGAAAACAGCTCTGTGTTGCGGATGATTTCATTGTGCAGTCACAAGCGTTCACCACGAGTCACGTTTGCACTCCACATTATGAACTGCGGTCATCTGGCCACGGACTCGACAGCGAGTCCGTGGCCCTCCACCGTCATCCTCTGGACTTGACCCGAAGGGGGCAGGCCAGGAAATGGTTGACAACAATGTGCGTACTTGCCCACACCATTACGTCCACTGCAAGACTTAGCGAACTCATGCAACATTGTGTTTGCATTCACGTTACACAAAAAGCACCGATTAATAAAAATGTACAACTGGTCAATGGAACGTATTGTTTTTCCAAATCGTATATTTATTTGTTGTATGTCTTTACCTCACTGCTTAAGTTGAACTTAGTTCTTTTATACTCAGTGGTGACCACCCTTATGAGAATATGGGGCCGTCCTTAAATGACGTCACGCGATTTTGGACGATGTTTGACCCCCCCTCTTCGTCACACGACGTCACAAAATGTCAGATCCCCCCTCAAATATGACGTCACAAAGCTCTGCCCCCTCCCCCTCAAAAAAATATAAAACATGCTTCAAATCGCTTTAAACTATTGTCATTGTAGTGCGTATTTAATGTGGCGCTGCACTCTGATGTTGTAGGAGAAAACATTTATGAAAAAGTCTATTTTATTCAGTAGAACGTGTTGTCTATATTTATTTAAAGTTGCGCATTTTGATGTGGCGTCACATTTCTCACCCCCCTCCCCCCCTCGCCACACATCGTCACAAATGTCTGACCCCACCTCCCCCAGGTGCGTGACGTCATTTATGGACGGCCCCTATGGCCACGCTTATGAGTAGCTGGCATTTATCCCCTCTTGGGTATTTGCCTAGAGGAGGAGTAGCAGCTCGCAACAGGTGTGCCGTGGCAAAGGCGCATGCGTGCGGTGCTATTTACAAGCTAGGACAGACTTCCCGTGCCGTTCAGTGGCCGATCCATCCACCGCCTCCCGCCCTTCCCCCTCTCCATTGGTCGCGGCGTGGTCCAGCAGCAGACAGCCGTCAGCCCCCCCCCATCCTCGGCTCCCCTCTCACTCCTATCGGTTGCGCGTGCACAGTCGGACAAACAGCCGCTACACCCGCTCACTCACCCCACAGTGAGTTTTTGGTTAGGCGTGTCACGAAGATTGTGCGAGCTCGAGAGTGAGTGCTGCGAAATGTAAGAGGTTGAGAAGCATTGACCTAGGGGGCTTACGAGGCAAGCCCCCATCTGGCCGTGTTGGGAGAGATATTGTGAACTTAACACACTGTACGACTATCAATAATGTTTCATCTTCTTTGGTTCTTTCGGTAAGGTCACGTAGAATGAGAATAAAATAATAAATTGATAAAATAAAATAACACAATAAAATTCTCACGACGTTTCGGCCACAACACAAGCGGCCTTCATCAGGTGAAGGGACGAGACTGTCTGGAGGACAGCGCTGGAGCGAACACAGCTAAGCTCAGACCGCGACCTTTAAGCTGTGTGAGAAGAAACAGAGCGCCTTGAAAAAGGAATTAGCATAGAATTTAGCATTGAAATAGCCGAGTGATTAGCTTGTGATGTGAGCGAGCAATTGCAGGGCTGCGCCTCTACCATTTGCACACAGTCAACATGCACAATGCCTGTACGATTGTCGGCAGTCGCAGTTAACACCCAAGTATTGATCACTATCTGCCACAAAATGCAAGAATTATAAACGCAAGACCTACGCACAGAAATTGTTACATGTGTGCATTCTGAGCTCCGTAATTATTTTTTGCGATAAGTGCATATTGTTGTCACGTTTGAATAAACTTTAAATTCAAGGAAGCGTGAAGTGGAGAAACGTTAGATGCGGGTCACGCGATCCATTTTAGATGTACTATTGCTATCGGGTAAAAAAAAAAATTCAAACTGCAGCCAACTAACACTGACATTTCCAAACACAGCACAAATCCTTGTC